GGTGCTGGAGGTGCTGGAGGTGCTGCTGGTGCTGGAGGTACTGGAGGTACTGCTGGAGGTACTAGAGGTGCTGCTGGTGCTGGAGGTACTGGAGCTGCTAGGCCTGGAGGTACTGGAGGTGCTGCTGGCGCTGGAGTTACTGGAGCTGCTGGTGGTCCTGGAGGTGCGGAGCTGCTAGTGCTGGAGGTACTGCTGGTACTGGAGGTGCTGGGGGTACTGGAGCTGCTGGCACTAGAGGTGCTGGTGCTACTGGTGCTGGAGCTGCGGGAGCTGCTGGTTCTGGAGGTGCTCGTACCAGAGGTACTGGAGCTGCCGGAGCTGGTGGTGCTGCTGGTGCTGGAGGTGCTGCTGGTGCAGGAGGACCTGGAGCTACAGGTGCTGCTGCTGCTGGAGGACGTGGAGCTACTGGTGCTGGAGGTGCTGGAGCTGCTGATCCTGCTGCTGGTGCTGGAGGTGCTGGAGCTGCTGGTCCTGCTGCTGGTGCTGGAGGACGTGGAGCTACTGGAGCTGCTGGTGCTGGAGGTGCTGGTCCTGCTGCTGGTGCTGGAGGTACTGGAGGTGCTGCTGGTGCAGGAGGACCTGGAGCTACTGGTGCTGCTGGTGCTGGAGGTACTGGAGGTGCTGCTGGTGCTGGAGGACGTAGCGCTACTGGTGCTGCTGGTGCTGGAGGTACTAGAGGTGCTGCTGCTACTGGTGCTGGAGGTGCTGCTGGGAGTACTGGAGGAGCTGCTCGTGCTGGAGGTACGAGAGCTGCTGGTGCTCTTCGCCACCTTCTCAGTCTTCCGCCAGGTGCTACTGACTTCCCTGTGGCAGGTACTACTCCTCCGTTACTGTTTCCACCGGCAGACCAGTCACAGCCGCAGCTGCTCCCGCACTCCCCACTGCCTACTCCTGCTCCTTACACTGCGGTGACACAGTCCCTGACTGAGCGTCGAGAGCCAGAGACTCGTGCTTCCACCCCTGAGCGTCGAGAGCCTGAGTCCAGCTTTGACCTTGAGCCCGAGCCTAGAGCTGCTGTCCGTGCTCGTGTTCCTCGTGTTCGTCGTCAGCATGCTCCGGCTGTCCCAGGCACTCACGATATGACACTCCGTCCTTCCTCTGTTCCACAGCGTGTTGTCCTGCCATTACCTCCTGCGTCCTCTCTTCCTGACGTTGCTGACCCTCCGTCTGACCTTGCTCGTGCGTCCAGTCCGACAGTTACTCGCTTTCTTGCTACGGTGGTGACTGACCCTTCGTTCTCGTCTCCTGCTGCGTCTGCCTTAGTCGCTAAGCTCGTTGACTTTGCTGCTGTGTACCGCCTAGACTACCTTGCGAGTCTTGTTTCTGACCCTGTCCCTGCCTGTCCTCCGTCCGTCGGGGGTGAGACTGCCCTTGGCTGTACTGCCCTTGGCTGTGACGTTCTTGAGGACAGGCAGGAGGAGCTGGAGTGCCTTGCGGCCGCTGCACCCCATCTCGCGACCATGCTGCTTGCCCCTGAGGGAGACCCGGATGCACTTGACATCCCCACCCCGCGCTCTTACAGAGAGGCGATTTCGGGTGAGTACTCCTCTCAGTGGCAGACAGCCATGGATGCAGAGATGGCTTCCTGGAAGTCCACAGGCACCTACGTCGACGAGGTTCCCCCACCTGGGGCGAACATCGTCAGTGGCATGTGGATTTTCAGAGTGAAGCGACCGCCGGGTTCTCCGCCTGCCTTCAAGGCACGTTACGTTGCTCGAGGTTTCAGTCAGCGTGAGGGAGTTGACTTCTTTCAGAGCTTCTCCCCCACCCCGAAGATGACCACTCTTCGGGTGTTGCTACACGTTGCAGCACAGCGCGACTACGAGCTGCACTCCCTCGACTTCTCGACAGCATTCTTGCAGGGTAGCCTTCACGAGGCCATCTGGTTGCGCCATCCACAGGGCTTCAGTGGGTCGTTTCCTGAGGGTACCCAGTGGAGCCTACGGCGACCAGTGTACGGCCTGCGTCAAGCGCCCCGCGAGTTGCACGACACACTGAGGACGACACTTGCGGCTCTTCGGTTTGCTCCTTCGACTGCTGACCCGTCGCTGTTTCTACGCACCGACACTACTCTGCCGGCGTTCTACATCCTCGTGTACGTCGACGACTTACACTGACACTGAGGCACTGGACCTAGTGAAGGCGGAGCTGCAGGAGAGACACACCTGCACTGACTTGGGTGAGCTGCGGAGCTATCTTGGCTTGCAGATCACCCGGGACAGAGCACGGTGCACCATCACCCTCACTCAGTCACACATGGTGCACCAGGTCCTTCAGCGCTTCGGCTTCACGTGGTCCTCGCCACAGCCCACTCCTCTGTCTACCGGCCACTCGCTCTCAGCTCCACCTTCGGACGAGTCCGTAGAGCCGAGTGGTCCGTACCCAGAGCTTATGGGCTGCCTCATGTACCTGATGACGTGCACACGACCTGACCTCGTGTACCCTCTCAGCCTCATGGCTCGCTACGTGGCACCTGGTAGACACCGAAAGGTGCACTTTGATGTTGCGAAGAGGGTACTGCGTTACTTGTGCAGTACATCGGGCATGGGGCTCGTGCTTGGAGGACGGGGTTCAGTGGTACTCACAGGACACTCTGACGCTTCTTGGGCTGACGACCAGGCGACTCAGCGTTCGTCACAGGGTTACACCTTCAGTCTTGGCTCTGGTTCTGTCTCGTGGAGGTCCACTCGTTCTTCTTCTGTGCTTGGTTCCAGCTGTGAGGCCGATATCTACGCTGGGGCCATGGCTGCACAGGAGCTTCGCTGGCTGACCTACCTGCTGACCGACTTGGGGGAGCGGCCTCGTTCTCCTCCAGTTCTGTACGTCGACAACAAGGCAATGCTTGCCTTGTGTCGCGAGCAGAGACTGGAGCACAGAACGAAGCACATTGCTCTTCGCTACTTCCTTGCGCATGAGCTGCAGCAGCGTGGTCAACTGCGCCTTGCTTACGTGGCCTCTCGGGCCAACACTGCTGATGTCTTCACCAAGGCCCTTGGGTCTGGTGATCATCAGCGTTTCTGCACGGCTCTTGGGCTTGTGCCCACTCTGCCTCACCTGCTGGTTGCTTGACTTGCTCTTGTTGTACACTGATATATATATCTTTATAGCTGCTTGTTTACTCTTGCTAGGTTGTGATCAGTGTACTGCCTTGCTATTATAACTCTGCATGTGAACTGGCCTTGTGGTCGCTTGCTTGTGCTCAGATTGTGTGGTGTCCTTGAGATCCACCCTGAGCTTTGCTTTGCTTTGTTCTCTTGCTTGACTGGTCTTGTGACCGTTCGTTGTGTTTGCTATCCCCCACTTTGCCTATGGGGGTGTGTCAAATTACATTTGTATGCTTCTAGGCTGTAGTGGGGCATACTCTAGTGAGTACAACCCTTTAGGGTTTCATACTTGTACTCATCCTGCTGCTCAATGCAATCATTCCTGCACAGTGATTCTGACACAGATGCTTTCGTAACCGTGCGACCCTTCGCGTCACTTCCGCCCTTTCGTCTTCAGCCCCGGTAGTGCGTGCTTCGTTTGCTGCGGCGAGGAGTGCACAGTAATGTTTCAATAATTACTATTCGTAACAGATATGATGACCTTACCTTGTACAGAGCCTTCCACGTTCCACCCACCCCTTTGACCAATAACGTACGCATTGCCCGTCATTTCAGAAGTAAATGAATGGTTCCTAGTTGGCTAACTTCTACGGTGCAATCCCAACATTCTCCAATAGCTGCAGAAATTACAAACGAGTCATAAACTTGTTTACCCAGTGCCTGTGCACTGCACGTTTTCAGCTGTTAGTTGGGAATGGTTTGTGCCCGCTTTCGTGCCTAGTGGGCGGTGGGCTGTGCCCCACGGGGCCCACAGCGTTCCACTCATGGCCGCCGGACCGCCAGGTGATCCACCCACCTTTGTCAGTGTACTGTACCCCAGACACTGTGCAACACTCCGATTCTTCCACCGCACACCGCCGAATGCCACCACGAGTTTCGTAAAAGTCAGACGAAGTGTGGCGTGCGTACGTACGTCCACGTGGTTCCCTCCAAGTGTTTTGCTCCTCATGAAACGAGCCATCAGGCTTCATCAACTTGAGCGATCTTCCCGAACCGAACTTGAGGATTCCGAACCTCGCACCAGAAATTGAAGGCCAGAACACCACGGTAGGGTTTTGTCGCCAAAACTCGCAAACCACAATCATTCAGGTTACCACGCTCGCGACTTCCAAACCTTACAATAACTGTGAAAACCTGAGGTCCAAACCTCAGGCTGGCTTGCTGGCTCTTGGGTTTCAGAAACGACAGCTACCACCACCGCCACCCTCTCGATTTCTGTGCGGTACGCAACCAGCGTACGTACGGTACGGTTCGCTGCTCCATCCGTACGGTACTGTACCGCCTAGTTCAGCCATGGCGGTTTCATACTCCGTTTGACCGTCCGTGTTTGACGCTTGTTCGTGCAGCAGTGCCAGCTTGTCAGCTGCGCCATGTTTGAAATCACCTTGCCTCTTATCTGTCTCACTTACCCTTCCAGCTCAACAGTGCTTTGCTTCCCCGCAACCTAATTCCAAGGTCCTCGACCTTTGCACAGTTGTTGTGGACCTTCATATAACTCTTCTGTTGCTGAAAGTCAGTTTCTCTAGAATTAATTATTTCGAAAGCTGTCTTCCTTTAGGGTAGTGATAGTTTATGTTCCACGCGAATCGTTCGCAGGGTTAGCTACATCGACCCGCAGTGACTGAGTACATTCTCTCACATTGCATCGTGTTGTGTTGCGTTCCCAGCGTTCACTCTCGCGGAAATAGTAATCGCCCCTGCTAGTTCTGAAGGTCATTCTCGCACCTACCGCAATACCTCTTATATGATCTCATCCATTATCTTTAACATCATCACCCGTTGCCTCACCTATCCCACAGATGGTTAGGAGGTCACTAGAAGCACCGCATTGCAGCCAATAACCTAGGAAACCCGTATCAAGTGTCCTACACTTGAACTGCCGGGTCCGAGGGTTTTATGATGCAGTACCACTCGGAGCAGCCCTCGGGGCTCCCCCCGCACAAGAGCGGAAGCCGCCGGCGCGCAACGGTCGCGTCCGTCAGCCCGCTCGAGCTGCGCCTGCAGGAGTTTCACATGGTCGGGGGAGGCGGAAGCGGGGCAGGCGGAATCGGGGGAAGCGCAATTGAGCGCGGAAGCAGCAAGCACGCAGGGTCCGGCGTAGGATTACATGTTCGCAGCGCTTCGCCACAAAGTGTCGCTAACCACGCGGAGTCGCCCGGGCACATGTCGGACGGGCGCAGCAGCCACTCGAGCCACGAGGGGCGCCGCCGGCGAAAATCCTCCGATAACGTCGCCGTCGAGGCGCGGGCCGCGTTGGCCGGTCTTAGTCTTTCCGGTTTAAGCGGCGGGTACGGGGCGGTCCCTACGGGCACGGGGAACAGCACGAACGGCGGCGGGGGGCGAAGCAGAAGCGGCGCAATGGGCGGCGCGGCGAGACAGCCGACGCTGGAGTCGATGCGAAACGGGGTTAACAACAGCAGCAACAGCAGCAGTATCAATAGCGTCGTCGATCCGCGATTACCGCTCGTCAACACCCCCGACTCCATACCGTCAGATGCGGACAAGCCGCGCTTTCCGTTAAAGCCATCCGTGAACGCGGCGCAATTTCCACCGCAGAGCGCGGATTTGGCGGCGGCGGCGGCGGCTTTGGCGGCCGCTGCCGGCGGAGCCGCGTATTGCAAGCCGCGGTACCAGTTTTGCCCGAATTGCGGGTTTCAGTTAGTAGAAAACCCGATAATAGAACCCATCTTAAAGCCCATTGTTCCCGCTATGGCGGAGGAGGAGACGGATTCGGAACAAGACTGCGACGACGACGCGAGCGAGGTATCTGTGCCACGTGTCAAAGCGCCATTGGCGAACGCCAAGGCGAAAACCAAGAAGGGGAAGAACCACGCGGAAAAAGAAAGGCCGCGCAGCAGGCGTTCTTCCGCGGAGCACAGTAGCAGCGGCGGGGGTGATTCCGACGCCGGCGGAGCGGGCGGAGCTTCCGCCGCGGGGAGAGCGGGAAGCGACGCGGAAGAGCCTGGCGCGCGGAAGCCCCCCCCCGCGTTTCCCCCGTCCGCGTCTTCCGCAGGGAAAGAGATTGAGGGGAGCCGCATGGACCGGCTGAGAGCGCCGGAGGTGGGGCAGCGCCAGGTGCTCCGCCACATGGAGAAGGGCGGGGGAGCGGGCGCGGGCGGCGGAAAGGGGCGCCATCGGCGCATCGGGAGCGTTGATCATAATATTTATTCCGCCGCCATGCCGCTCACGAAGGGGCGGCTGGCGGGCGGCGCGGGGGCAGCGGCGGGGAGGGATCAGGGTTACGGGGATGCGGAGGGGGGAGGGATCGGCGCGGGACGCGCGGGGATGAGGGGGATAGCGTCTCCCGTTCAGGAGGATGACGGGGAGGGAACGGAGCGTAGCTCGCCGACGGAATCCGTCGCGTTGTCTGACGTGTCCGCGGTAACGGGGCGCGACGCGCCGGGTGGCAGCGCAATCGGCGGCGCGAGCGCCGTCAGCGCCGCGATTTCCGCCCACAGAAAGCGGCTGGGGATCGGGGGCGATGGGGGGAGCGAGAGGGGGAGCGAGCGGGGGAGCGAGAGGGGGAGCGCGGCGGGTTCGCCCAGGGGGGAATCTGGAGGCGCAGGGTCTCCGCGGAAATCCGCTATAGGGCTGAAAAAGCTACAGCTAAGAGTGGAAATCGGGGCAGATGATAGCGGGGATGAGGGCAGAGAGGTTAAACTGGTGGCGGTAGGGCCCCCCGCGGGGAAGGCCGGGGGAGGGGGGATGGGAGGAGAGGGGGCAGGGGGAAGCGGAGCAGGAGGAATGGGGAGAGGAGTGCGGGGAGTGGCTGGGATAGGGTCTGTGAAAGAAAGGTCTGGGCTGAGGAGGGAGGGTAGTGGGGTGAGAGGGGGTGTGGGGGTTGGGGTGGGTGGAGGAGCAGTGGGAGCAGCAGCAGCAGCAGCAGGGACGGCTGTAGCAGCAGCAGGTGGGGGCATACCAGCGGTAGCTGTAGCACCAGTGACTGTAGCCCCAGTGGCTGTAGCGGGGCCGGTGGCGGCGCTACAGAAGGGCGCGCACCGGCGCATCTCATCGTGGGTGGACGGGGGCAGCCTGCGGCACACGGACTTCATTCTGCGCAAGCCGTACCGCGAGGTCACCGAGGTGTTTGACGTGCAGGAGGAGGAGCTGGGCGTGGGGCAGTTCGGAGTGATTCGGTCGTGCGTGAATAGGGTGACTGGGGCACTCTTGGCATGCAAGACAATCAGCAAGGAGAGGATCGTGGTGAGTGCTTGCTTGCTTGTTAGTTGATGTCACCGAGGTGTTTGATGTGCAGGAGGAGGAGCTGGGCGTGGTGTGGGGCAGTTGGGCGTTATCCGGTCGTGCGTGAACAGAGTCACAGGGGCGCTCTTGGCATGCAAGACGATCAGCAAGGAACGCATTGTGGTGAGTGCTTGTGTGGAGCGGGAACGGAGGGGTTGCGGGAATTCAGGGTTCAGGTGAGGTGTTTGTCGTGCAGGAGGAGGAGCTGGGCGTGGGACAGTTGGGGGTTATCCGGTCGTGCGTGAATAGGACGACTGGCGCGCTGCTGGCATGCAAGACGATCAGCAAGGAGAGGGTTGTGGTGAGTGCTTGCTTGGGCTGCTGCAGGATGGGTTGGGTAATGCTGGTGGTGCGTGCACAGGTGGGGACGGGCGGTGGTGTGTGGAGGGAAGGAAGAGGGGGAGTCAGGTGATGTCACGGAGGTGTTTGACGTGCAGGAGGAGGAGCTGGGCGTGGGGCAGTTGGGGGTGATTCGTTCATGTGTGAACCGGATGACAGGGGCACTCTTGGCGTGTAAGACGATCAGCAAGGAGAGGGTTGTGGTGAGTGCTTGCTTGGGCTGCTGCAGGATGGGTTGGGTAATGCTGGTGGTGCGTGCACAGGTGGGGACGGGCGGTGGTGTGTGGAGGGAAGGAAGAGGGGGAGTCAGGTGATGTCACGGAGGTGTTTGACGTGCAGGAGGAGGAGCTGGGCGTGGGGCAGTTGGGGGTGATTCGTTCATGTGTGAACCGGATGACAGGGGCACTCTTGGCGTGTAAGACGATCAGCAAGGAGAGGGTTGTGGTGAGTGCTTGCTTGGGCTGCTGCAGGATGGGTTGGGTAATGCTGGTGGTGCGTGCACAGGTGGGGACGGGCGGTGGTGTGTGGAGGGAAGGAAGAGGGGGAGTCAGGTGATGTCACGGAGGTGTTTGACGTGCAGGAGGAGGAGCTGGGCGTGGGGCAGTTGGGGGTGATTCGTTCATGTGTGAACCGGATGACAGGGGCACTCTTGGCGTGTAAGACGATCAGCAAGGAGAGGGTTGTGGTGAGTGCTTGCTTGGGCTGCTGCAGGATGGGTTGGGTAATGCTGGTGGTGCGTGCACAGGTGGGGACGGGCGGTGGTGTGTGGAGGGAAGGAAGAGGGGGAGTCAGGTGATGTCACGGAGGTGTTTGACGTGCAGGAGGAGGAGCTGGGCGTGGGGCAGTTGGGGGTGATTCGTTCATGTGTGAACCGGATGACAGGGGCACTCTTGGCGTGTAAGACGATCAGCAAGGAGAGGGTTGTGGTGAGTGCTTGCTTGGGCTGCTGCAGGATGGGTTGGGTAATGCTGGTGGTGCGTGCACAGGTGGGGACGGGCGGTGGTGTGTGGAGGGAAGGAAGAGGGGGAGTCAGGTGATGTCACGGAGGTGTTTGACGTGCAGGAGGAGGAGCTGGGCGTGGGGCAGTTGGGGGTGATTCGTTCATGTGTGAACCGGATGACAGGGGCACTCTTGGCGTGTAAGACGATCAGCAAGGAGAGGGTTGTGGTGAGTGCTTGCTTGGGCTGCTGCAGGATGGGTTGGGTAATGCTGGTGGTGCGTGCACAGGTGGGGACGGGCGGTGGTGTGTGGAGGGAAGGAAGAGGGGGAGTCAGGTGATGTCACGGAGGTGTTTGACGTGCAGGAGGAGGAGCTGGGCGTGGGGCAGTTGGGGGTGATTCGTTCATGTGTGAACCGGATGACAGGGGCACTCTTGGCGTGTAAGACGATCAGCAAGGAGAGGGTTGTGGTGAGTGCTTGCTTGGGCTGCTGCAGGATGGGTTGGGTAATGCTGGTGGTGCGTGCACAGGTGGGGACGGGCGGTGGTGTGTGGAGGGAAGGAAGAGGGGGAGTCAGGTGATGTCACGGAGGTGTTTGACGTGCAGGAGGAGGAGCTGGGCGTGGGGCAGTTGGGGGTGATTCGTTCATGTGTGAACCGGATGACAGGGGCACTCTTGGCGTGTAAGACGATCAGCAAGGAGAGGGTTGTGGTGAGTGCTTGCTTGGGCTGCTGCAGGATGGGTTGGGTAATGCTGGTGGTGCGTGCACAGGTGGGGACGGGCGGTGGTGTGTGGAGGGAAGGAAGAGGGGGAGTCAGGTGATGTCACGGAGGTGTTTGACGTGCAGGAGGAGGAGCTGGGCGTGGGGCAGTTGGGGGTGATTCGTTCATGTGTGAACCGGATGACAGGGGCACTCTTGGCGTGTAAGACGATCAGCAAGGAGAGGGTTGTGGTGAGTGCTTGCTTGGGCTGCTGCAGGATGGGTTGGGTAATGCTGGTGGTGCGTGCACAGGTGGGGACGGGCGGTGGTGTGTGGAGGGAAGGAAGAGGGGGAGTCAGGTGATGTCACGGAGGTGTTTGACGTGCAGGAGGAGGAGCTGGGCGTGGGGCAGTTGGGGGTGATTCGTTCATGTGTGAACCGGATGACAGGGGCACTCTTGGCGTGTAAGACGATCAGCAAGGAGAGGGTTGTGGTGAGTGCTTGCTTGGGCTGCTGCAGGATGGGTTGGGTAATGCTGGTGGTGCGTGCACAGGTGGGGACGGGCGGTGGTGTGTGGAGGGAAGGAAGAGGGGGAGTCAGGTGATGTCACGGAGGTGTTTGACGTGCAGGAGGAGGAGCTGGGCGTGGGGCAGTTGGGGGTGATTCGTTCATGTGTGAACCGGATGACAGGGGCACTCTTGGCGTGTAAGACGATCAGCAAGGAGAGGGTTGTGGTGAGTGCTTGCTTGGGCTGCTGCAGGATGGGTTGGGTAATGCTGGTGGTGCGTGCACAGGTGGGGACGGGCGGTGGTGTGTGGAGGGAAGGAAGAGGGGGAGTCAGGTGATGTCACGGAGGTGTTTGACGTGCAGGAGGAGGAGCTGGGCGTGGGGCAGTTGGGGGTGATTCGTTCATGTGTGAACCGGATGACAGGGGCACTCTTGGCGTGTAAGACGATCAGCAAGGAGAGGGTTGTGGTGAGTGTGTGCATGTGTTGGTGCGGGATGGGATGGGATGGGGTGAATTGTGGTGGTCGTGCGTGAACAGGGTGACAGGGCGCTGCTGGCGTGCAACACCATTGTGGTCAGTGCCTGCATGGGATGGGCTGGGAAGAGATGGGATGGGATGGGATGGGAAGAGATGGGATGGGATGGGCTGGGAAGAGATGGGATGGGATGTGATGGGAAGAGATGGGATGGGATGGGATGGGGTGCGGTGGATGGCGGTGCTCCTGGCTGAACCAGGTTGCAGGTGTGCTGCTGGTTTGCAAGAGAGGCAGCACGGAGCGGATTGTGGTGGGTGGGAGGGCGAGGGAGTGGGGCTGGCTGGGTGATGCTGGGTCGTGATGGGTGGGGTTGGTTGGGGCTGGGTGGGGCGGATTGCCATCATTCCTCCATGATTCGTACAGGTGCATAAGTATGCCAGCAGTATTAATCTCTACATGTGCAACTCATACAAACTTATGCTGCTGGCATGTGCGTGCATGGATGGATCATGGACGTGGGACTGATTGATGCTGGCACGGCGTGGTGTCATGTCATGTCATCATGGCTGTCGCATCGCAACGGTCATCTTTGGTTGTTACACACGTCCGCGATGCCATGGGGTTTGATCCCAGATGCGGTTGCACAAGGATGCGCTGTGGGGGAAGGAAATGATGCACTGGCATGTGTTCACCATCACATCACACGGTCACTTCACTTCTCATAAACCCCACCCCACCCCATTCCACCGCACCCCACCCCACCCCACCTCAACCCAACCCACCCCGCCACACCTCACCGCACCCCACCATTCCAGTGCCCTGAGGACGCAGAGGACGTGCGGAAGAAGGTGCAGCTGATGCAGCAGCTGGTGCAGCCCACCCCTCCCCCTTTGTCTCCTACTGGCATGTTAATGAGCGTGCATCTATGCGCCCCTCTCCCCATCACCTCCCTGCATTGCCCCGAGGATGCAGAGGACGTGCGGAAGGAGGTGCAGCTAATGCAGCAGCTGGTGCAGTGCATGTGCGTGTTTTTTGAGAATTCTCAAATAACACTCGCTGCAATATGTTTCTGTGCCCCACTCATAGCTCTCGATGTACCATGTGCACCACACCCCACCCCACCCCACCACACCACACCACTGCAGTGTCCCGAGGATGCAGAGGACGTGAGCAAGGAGGTGCAGCTGATGCAGCCCCCCCTTTTTGCCCCTTTCCTACTGGCATGTTGATGTGCTTGTGCCCCCACTCACACCTCTCTATACGCAACGTGCCCCACCCTCTCACGGCAGTGTCCCGAGGAGGATGCGGAGGGCGTGCGGTGCGGCTGATGCAGTGTCCCCAGGGCATGTTGCTGTGCCTGTGCCCCACTCATAGCTCTCCATGTGCCATGTGGACCCCACTACCCCTTTGTAGTGCCCCGAGGACGCAGAGGACGTGCGCAAGGAGGTGCAGCTGATGCAGCAGCTGTTGCAGTGCCCCTAGGGCAGGTTCATGTGCATGTGTCTGCGCCCCACTCATACCTCCCGATGTACCTTGTGGACCACACCCCACCCCACCCCACCCCACCCCACCGCACCGCACCACTGCAGTGCCCAGAGGACGCGGAGGACGTGCGCAAGGAGGTGCAGCTGATGCAGCAGCTGAGGGGCCACCCCAACATCATCGACCTCTATGAGACGTTTGAAGACAGCAAGGTGAGGGTGGTTGATGTGTTATGGCATGGGGTGAACTATAAGTAGTAGAAGTACCCCATCCCACCGCACCCCACCCCACCCCAACATCATCGACCTCTACGAGACGTTTGAAGACAGCAAGGTGAGGGGTGGGTGTAACGTGGTAGGAGTTGAAGGGTGGGGGCTGTTTGTGGGCAGCAGCTGAGGGGTCACCCCAACGTCATCGACCTCTATGAGACCTTGGAGGACAGCAAGGTGAGGCGAGTGTGTGGTGTGGTAGGAATCGCATGGTAAGCAGAGAAGACTTACCCTGTTCCAACGCACCCCACCCCACCCCACCCCAACATCATCGACCTCTATGGAACCTTCGGGGACAGCAAGGTGAGCTGAGGTGCCCCACCCACCCTCCCCACCCCACCCCACCCCACCGCTCCCCACCCCACCCCGCCCCACCCCAACATCATCGACCTCTATGAGACGTTCGAGGACAGCAAGGTGAAGCGAATGGTGGGTGGGGCGAGGAGTTTGTGGGGGTTAGTGAGTAGAGACAATCCACTTCAACATCATTGATCTCTATTAGACCTTCTTACTCGGTAGGTTACTTCTTGCTCTTGCTGTTTTTGCTCAGGCAAACTCTCTAATACTCATGCCTTTCCTCCCCCTAAGCATCCACTGTCTGGTCATCCCATGTTCATTCGTTCTGCATGTCTCCTTCTTGAGCATCTCCTTCATAGAGCAAAGGAATGAAGGAATGAGGCTAGTCACGGGATGAGCGAGATTCAGCACAAGGAACGAAATGCAGCGCTGTGTGCCAACTCCGCTCCACTTCCACTCCCCACCTCTCCCCTTTACCCAATTCGCGAGTACGAAATTACTCGCTTGTAAAAGCGAGTATCTTCAGCAAACCTGCCAACTCGTTAGTCGCCCAAAACGAGTTAAAAACAATCGAGCGAGTTAAAAACAATCGAACGAGTTAAAAACAATCGAGCGAGTAAATACTCGCCTCGTTGCTCATGCCCCTCCCCATCCCCCCCCTCGCAGCACGTGCACCTAGTGATGGAGATCTGCAAGGGAGGGGAGCTGTTTGACCGCATCAAGCTTAGAGGGCAGTACAGCGAGCGCAGCGCGGCGCTCGTGTGCCAGACGCTGGTGGAGGCGCTGCTCTACTGCCACTCCAATGGCATTGCTCACCGCGACGTGAAGCCTGAGAACATTCTGTTAATGCACAAGGACGACGATACCAACATCAAAGTGATTGACTTTGGCGTCGCCACACGATTCAGACACGGTATGCCATGCACCATGTGAACATTGTTGGCTGGAATGGCGTGGCATGGCATGGCATGGCATGGCATGGCATGGCATGGCATGGCATGGCATGGCATGGCATGGCATGGCATGGCATTGTGCCCTCGTGTGCCAGACGCTGGTGGAGGCGCTGCTCTACTGCCACTCCAACGGCATTGCACCTGCGATGTGAAGCCCGAGAACATTCTGCTCATGCACAAGGATGACGACACGAACATCAAAGTGATCGACTTTGGTGTTGCTACGAGGTTCAGGCACGGTGAGACAGCTTGGGTTCGAATGGTATGGCATTGTATGCGCTCACACGGCGATGTGAATTGAAGCCCGAGAACATTCTGCTCATGCACAAGGACGACGATACGGGCATTGAAGTGATTGACTTTGGTGCGGCCAGGCCACGCGGTTCAGACACGGTGAGCGAGTGCCATGGGGTTCTACCTTGTATTTGCAAATGACATGGTGAGTGTAAAACAGTGTTATTTGGAAGTTGCACCGGTCCAATTTGGGGGTTTTTTTGAGGGTTGGAATGACTTTGCATTCTGCGCACACTCTGGGGTGTGAAGCCGGGAAACAACATCCTCTTTCTCCTCCCTACCCTTTCCTCCCTATCCTACCTAACCTCCCTCTCCTCCCTATCCTTTCTCTCCTCCCTCTCCTCCCTTTCCTCCTTCTCTTCCTTCTCCTCCATCTCCTCCCTCTCCTCCCTCTCCCCCCTCCCCTCACCCCTCCTCTAACAGGCGAGCCCCTGACAGAGTTTGTCGGCACGCCCTACTACATGGCCCCAGAGGTCCCCACCGGCCCCCCTCTTGCCTCTTCCTGCCCTCCCCCGAACCACCACCCTTCCTGCCCCCCTTTCCCCCCCCCATACAGGTGAGCCTCTCACAGAGTTTGTCGCACGCCCTACTACATGGCTCCTGAGGTCCTCACGGCTCGTACAAATGTGCCCCTCACTCTTTCTTGTCCCTCTCCTCCGCGCCACCGCCCCATTTCTACAGGCGAGCCCCTGACAGAGTTCGTAGGCACGCCCTACTACATGGCCCCAGAGGTCCTCACCGGCTCGTACGGCCCCGAATCCGACATCTGGTCGGCGGGGATCGTCCTATACATCATGCTGTGCGGCTTCCCGCCGTTCTGGGCGGCGAGCAACGAGGGCATATTCGATGCGATCCGGCGCAAGGAGGTGCAGTTCAAGTCCGCCAAGTGGCGCACTGTGACCGAGGACGCAAAAGAGCTTATAAGGAGGATACTCGTTAAAGATCCCCGCAAGAGGATCTCTGCACTGGAGTTGCTCGGTGAGTTTTGAGTTCAATGGGTTGGACTCATTGGCTTGGGTTTTGGGGTGTGTTGATCGGCTTGGGGTTTGGGTGCGTTGATTGGCTTGGGGTTTGGGTGCGTTGATCGGCTGGGGGTTTGGGATGCGTTGATTGGCTTGGGGTTTGGGTGCGTTGATCGGCTGGGGGTTTGGGATGCGTTGATTGGCTTGGGGTTTTGAATGCGTTGGTTGGCCTGGGGTTTGGGATGTGTTGATGGCTTGTTTTTAGGAGTGAGCTGACTGGCTTGGTAAGTGGATGGCGGTGCTGGTAAGCATGTGTGCTGACTCATCTGGCGTGACTACGTGCATGGTTAAGACCAGTGTGTTGACACTCTTGCTCTTCCACCCTGCGCGTGCCCCTTCCGTTGCCTAACACTCGTGCCTTGAACCGTTTTCCCAGGGATCACATGCGTATTCCTGCATTTATGTCTCATCACATCACCCACCATCCACCTCAACTTTCATCTGTCCGTTATGCATGGCATGGCATGGCGTGTCATGGGATGGTATGGCATGGCGTGGCGTGGCATGGTATGGCAGGTCATCCATGGATCGTGCAATACTCGACATAACAACGGAGTTTTCATTGCATCACAACTTAGTTGAGCTGCACGAACAACAGCGATAGAGGAGCCACAACCACATGACACTCCCCCACATCCCATGTCTGTGCTTATACGAGCAAAAACGAATTACAGCCTTCTGTTTGCGACTCAGAAGGTATGGGTAGGTAGGACCTGGGCAACATGTTGTGCCTAGCAGACCTCCACCTGAAGCTGACTTGCATCATGGCAGATTGCCAGCATGCGCTCTCAAACCCCACGGAGTGCTCATTTTGACTCTAGCTTGTTCATTCCCAAGTATTCAAGGGGTTGTTCTCGCTTAAAACCGGGGTGCACATTCAGCTGAATGTGCATCAAAGGTTATCCCTTGACTGAGTGGGTTACGAGGTGTGCTTTCAACCCCTTCAAGTCGAAATTCGTTTCCCCCCTCCCCCGCAATTTCGTTTCCCCACGCCCCCGCAATTTCATTTCCCCCTCCCCGTCGAAATTCGTTTCCCCCCTCCCCCGCAATTTTGTTTCCCCCCTCCCCCGCAATTTCGTTTCCCCCCCCTCCCGCCAATCTGTTTCATCCCTCCCGCCATTCGGTTTCACCCACTCCCGCCATTTCACCCCCTCCCGCCACCTACGAAATGCCCGAAGCTCTAGCGGAATCATTTTTTTGTCGCCCCTCGTGAGCCAATCAGTGTTTTTCTCCAAACCCCCTTCCCAACATCTCAAGCCGAACCGCGTTGAATGTGCACCCTGGTTTTAAATTAATTGTATTCGAATAATGCAAGCTTGAATAATATACTCTTGAGCATTGTACCGGTAACAGGAAACTCGATCCCTGTCCCGTCAGCACAGTCCCCCAGCCAATGAGCATCTACACAGATTTCGCTAACCAGATTTCGCTAGTGATGCCATCGCTTTTCGCGAACTGGGCCAGGTAAGTTGAACGCGATTAACTTCTCGCTTAGGTAAGGACAGAACAGGCATTAGAATTGTGGTTGGCAGACCCGTCGCATCGCATGTAGTTGCTGCTTTCAGGTCAGCAGCAACGACACGCGCGCGTGCTTTCCTTCCTCGGCAAGCTTTCCGCACTACGTGCTGGCGACGTAAAGAAGCAGTATCGTAGCGAACTCGTTATCGATCTTTAGGCGCGTCCGAAGTTACCTCCCGCTGCTTGCTCATGTCATAAACAGCCGTGATACTTCGCCGCCATTTTGTATCCAGCCGCCGTGCCCCGCTCAATCGTACAGCGCAGGTTTCCGGTACCGCCGGAATGATGAGCCGCTGGACTAGCCGTCACGCTGCACAGGATTCGCCGGAACCCGTTTGACATCGCCATCCCAGTGACTTTTGAGTCGACTCAAAAGCCACCTAGTTACATCGCCAATCCCAGGGCCTGGAACGAGAAATTGGAACGAGAAGCCGTTTGATCGGAGGCAGTCTGAATTCGCTTTCACACTGGTTTCCATCCTATGATCCCAGCATCCGCCGGAAAACTCTTCAAGTCTTTCGTAGATACTCACAGCTACAACGGCTGCGTGCTTTTGAACCCTTCTCCAGACTTTTAGTATTTTCCGAGATTCCATGGCCGACGCGCGGCCAGCTTCCGACGTCAGGCGGCGCCGGTCGGCGCATCGCGGGTACGTGATTAGCGGCTAGTTTCAATCCTCTTTGTCTCAAATCGGATCGGTTTATCCTGAGGATGGGAATTCACCTTGAGTTCGCGGAGGTTAACCCTCAAGCGGCTATGCGTAACACGCACGTTGAGAGAGCGGCGTGGAGGTGGGGGAGAAACTATTGAGAATTTTCAAAAGTTTCATGAGAGGAACTTCGCATCTCCAGTCAACGCTCTTTTGCGTCGTCCAGTCAAATCGGTGTGCACGTCGCATCTGCCCTTTGACCCTGTGTTCCTTGCTGCTATTACAGTCGGCTAGCAGTCAGGATGAACTCTCTGCCGCCGTTATCTCAGTAGTCGCCGGCGCCGTCACCTCCCCTTAGTGCTTCAGTCTTTCGTTCCAACTCGCTGCCTCACCACTCCTCAGTTCCTCCCCTCGCTCCTTACCTCCACCCTTCTCTCCGCTCCTTACCTCCACCCTTCTCTCTGCTCCTTACCTCCACCCTTCTCTCTGCTCCTTACCTCCACCCTTCTCTCTGCTCCTTACCTCCACCCTTCTCTCTGCTCCTTACCTCCACCCTTCTCTCTGCTCCTTACCTCCACCCTTCTCTCCGCTCCTTACCTCCACCCTTCTCTCCGCTCCTTACCTCCACCCTTCTCTCTGCTCCTTACCTCCACCCTTCTCTCTGCTCCTTACCTCCACCCTTCTCTCTGCTCCTTACCTCCACCCTTCTCTCTGCTCCTTACCTCCACCCTTCTCTCTGCTCCTTACCTCCACCCTTCTCTCTGCTCCTTACCTCCACCCTTCTCTCCGCTCCTTACCTCCACCCTTCTCTCCGCTCCTTACCTCCACCCTCCTCCCCATACGCCTTACCTCTGTCGTTTCTGCTCGCCCCCCCCCTTAGTCGACCGTACGCAGACGAGAAGGATCGAGACCACGCGGCCAAGCCACGGGACCACCATCACGCACCTGCCACGTCAGCTGCAGGTCCTGCTGCCACGTCATTGGGAGGCACTGGAGGCGGGCCATCAGTAGCTGCTGCTGTGGGTCCACCTGGATTTTCATTCCCTGCCACCACTGCCACGTCATCTGCATGTGAGAATAACAGCCTTCGGTTGGGTCTAGGTTTTTCAAAGGCATGTTTCGGGTTAAGTGTTAGAACCAGGGGTTGAAGCTAAGGTGCCTTTACTTGCAGTCGCGGTTCAGGTTTCACGGCTTTATTTGCCTGACCACACGCTTTCCTGGCCATGTTTCCTCGCTGTTCCTTTATCAGTTCCCAGTCGAAGACATTCATGTCGCAATTGTTTTCAATGTCCCATTCACCCCCCCCCCCCCCCCCCTCCCTCTCCCCCCCCCCCCCCGCCCCCCTCTCTCCCCTCCCCCATCGATTTAACCTCCCTCTCTCGCTCATTCACCCTCTTCCTCTGGCTTTCACCCTCCTTGTCCCAGCATTTACCCTTCCTTCCTCACATTCACCCTCCCTCCCTCGCATTCACCCGTCCCCTACGCCCAACACCATTCTATTCTTACCGTATCTCCAGCTGCGGGGGTGCGGCCATCGTCCCCCAACGTTCGCCCTCCTTCGCCGCTAACCCAGCAAACCTCTGAGCCGACCACAGCAGGAGCAATGCAAGCAGCCGGCGGTGCAGAGCCGCTGCCACCGAGGTATGCATGTGCTGCCCTCCACAGCACAGGTGCTGTGGAGGGCACTCCCCTCCACAGCACAGGTGCTGCACCGACATCTCTGTCTCCTCACCGCATTTCCCTGATTCCACACTCGGCTCCTGTTAGGATCCCCATCTGCCTCAATCCTGCACCAGACTCAATCCAATCGCCTGTGCACTGCACCCGCTCTTGCCCACATCCTTTCTCGTCTACGTATCCCAATTCCATTTATCCAATGCTCAACACTTCCCTTCCTAATCCACATCCACCAACCCTCATTCACTCTCTCCTCCATTTCCCGTCTCTCCCCCATTTCTCGTCTCTCCCCCCACCTCCTGTCAGGCCCCATTCCGTATCCAACCAGTCACCTCTGGCACCACTGCCTCCTGCATCAGCTACAGCGCCCCAGCAACCCCAGCAGGCGCAGCAGGCCCATCAATCCCACCAGGCACAGCAGCGGCACCAGGAGGAGGTGCAGAGAATGCTGGCGGCCAAGCGGGCGGCGGTGCAGAGAGCAAGGCAGATGGGTGCCACAGGGCACTTCAAGCCGTGTGACTCCATGTTTGGGAACTCCCTCGTTCCTGTTATTCCGTTCCAGCAACCGTAGCAGCACTCCTAACCTCAATCCAGGCCGCAGATTCGTTTGGCACCACAGCTTACTTCAAGTCTTGCGATTGCATGTTTGGGAACTCCCTTGTTCCTGTTGTTCCTTTCCTGGGCCTGACCGATTTGTCCTGTGCAACATGTCTGACCTGACCGTCCCCCACTCCTCTCTCACAGGGTACTCCTTGAAACTGATGCAAGTGGGCTTGTGACCATGATACAGTAGCATGTCAGGTTACATCACCATTATTACAATCCAATATATTACACTGCACAAGGAACACCGAATTGAGTATGTTGTCATGCATTTGGAGGAATGGGAACCGTAGAAATGCCGTGAATCTGAATGTTTTTTGTCAGGCTCATATTAGCCATGTTCAGAGGCCCAAATGACTTTCCCCCTAGGGCCTTGAAGTAACACTCTCGCTGGCTGATCTTATTCATTTTAATCAGCTTCAAGTCCATGTTCATGGTGCGGAACTGCCATAACGGAACAGTTGACAGAAGCCGGTTCTTGCTGAATTTCCCCTGTATAATCAGATTCTTCAATATGCGTAGGCGCTGCTGCGGAGTGTAAGAATCCCACTTTTTCTTCATAAATTGGTTGCCAATATTAGAGGGGATGAGGATGGTCGCAGGGCCATCAAGTGAAATTAGCTTAAATTTCGCTGCAATAAAAGGGAAAAAAGGGAACAGAAAATGTTTAGGACACGCCCAGATTGAAAACAGTCATGCACAGTATACAGAAAACAAATTAATGTTGTTTTCTCAATGCCTACCTGCAGTGTAGAATCGCTCTGCGAAAACGGAGAAGAAGGCGTATTTCTTATCAAGGTCCTTAAGCGCCGCGAGAAGCTCCCACTGCGGCACTCCCTTTTGCACTGCCCTTCTCACCGGCGGCGCCCTCTTGCTCTCTGCTGGCACCGCTAGCAGCAACAGAGCCGCAGCGAATGCCGCGACGAGCAGGCCGAGTATGCGAGGACACGCCATTGGGAATACCGACTGATTGAGTCAGCGAACGAGTGGTTCGTATGTCAGAGAGCCGTGATATTATTGATTGAAGAGAAGGCAGAGGCGTATTGTCTCAATCTTGGTGAAGCCTAAGATAGGTTAGTCAGCCTTTGGACTGGGTTTCTGGACAGTGCCAATCGCCGAAAGGGCTGTGTAAGGAAGAAAAAGGGTGGACGGTGGAGTGTGAGCAGACGATGAGCGTTCTTATGCGAATCCTGCTCACGTGCGGACCACTGTGCTTGCAACGAGGAAAACCAGGGTTTCTGGAGGTCTGCGTGAGGAGACACTGAAACGATGGAGGAGGGACGGTGAGGAGAAGAGAAAACGCCATGATTAAGAAGTTGGAGCGTCGGGTCGGGGGGGGGGGGAAGTGCTAAAAACACAGGTCCATGCACTGCAGTCTGGATGGCACGACAGCGGAAGGGACGACTTCGGACCAGTAGAGGTAAGCGGAAAACCTAGAATCTAGTACAAGCATAAGTGAGGCATGGCAGTACGATGAAGACAGAAGGGTGGGGATGTGAAGCCGCCAGGACGTGTTCAAATTTCTCACAGCGTCTCCACTTCCAACTCGTTTTTTGCGAGAGTGACATTTCAGGTGAGTTCAACACCATCCCTCAGAAAGTAATGGTGTGAAAGTGTGACACGAGGTACTCTTCATTGCAATACAGATTCAATTCACGCCTTTCTAAACCACCCCCGTAAAAGGTGCTGAACTTCGGGACGATTCGTATTCCGCAGCCGCAGATGTTTCGTGTGTGTGCGATCCCACGCTGCGACAAGGCTGTCGAGGAGCCGCCGGTTGATCTTCTCGCGAAACTCGTGATCCCGTTCTTTCGTCTACTCCGCATGTAACAGCGTGACACAGTCTTGCCTTGGAATCGTCAAACGCTACTATTTCAAATAAATCCACGATTGTTATGAATGAACTTGCAGAGTGCGCAGAATATCGAATAACGAGAGTGGAAATTACAGAATGACGATACAATGGAAGTGACGAGGCCTAAATAGGGGAATTCCTAGCAAGGCGGGGAGGTTGGGCGAGGATGGCTCGGTGATGGATGCGATTGGAGCGGAGGCCGACTCGGGAGTGGTTCGGCCGACGAAATAGGGCGAACAGGTTCGTCGCGTGACCTTCGGGATGTACTCGCTAATAACTGACTACAGTAAGGAATTATAATTCCTTACAACGATAGTCATTCATTCACATTTCTTAGTACAGGGTAGTTGCAATTTAGGAGCTGATGAATCAGATACTACCTGACATGCTATACAAAAAAACATCTCACGGTACTCGCTGGTGACGTAACAGCCGCTGTCGCCCGTTCACTCCTGCAGTACAGCTATCTGGTATTTCCGAAATGACGAGCCGCCGGGTTAGCCGTCATGCTGCACAGGATGCGACACGAGAATCCCTTTCATCAATAGCATTCTGAAATCGCCTTCCCAGATGTTTCCATCATGGATGATCCTGTGATGATCATGTTATTCCAGCAACCAGAATCCATTCCAGTCCGTAGTAAATACTCACGGCTACAGCGTTAGGTATCTTTGAACCCTCTTCAACGGTTACCTTTTGTTTCCGAGTTTTCATGGCCGACGCGCGGCCAGCTTCCGACGTCAGGCGGCGCCGGTCAGCGCATCGCGGGTACGTGATTAGCCGCTAGTTTCAACGCCCGTTGCCCCAAATCGGATCAGCTTATCGTGAGGATGGGAGTCACCTTGGATACGTGGAAATCGACCCTCAAGTTGCGAGAGAGCGGCGGCGAACCGAAGGTGAGTCTGAGAGAGCCGCGTACGGGAGGTGAGGGAGGCATTTTTGCGTCATTCAGTCGAACCTTGTGTTCGCCGCGTTGCTATTCGACCCTGTGTACTCCCTCCTGCTACCACAGCCGGCTAGCAGTCAGAATCAACACCCTGCCGCCGTTATCTCAGTCGTCGCCGTCATTCCCTCTGTGCTTCAGTCGTTCGTTCCAGCGCTAGTCCCTGGTGCTCTCACCTCCACCTCCTCCCTCTTCAGCTCACCCACTCTCTCACAACAGAGGCGCTGTGCCCTCACAAGACGTCTTATGCTTTTTCTATCTTCCTCCCTCCTATCCCCACTCTCCCATCACCACTCAGTCTCTCCCAAACAGAGAAGGCAGTAGCAGATTCCTTCCAAGACTCCCTCACAGCAGAGTCGTACCTCGGTGCTCTCAACCCCACCTCCTTGCAATGGAGTCGTTTGCCGCCAGACACTTGACATTGCCACTCGCCCATGCTGTCTGCACTCCCTCCTAGCGCTTCTGCCACCACTCTTTCCAGCACCTAAACCGCTCCGTACGTCAAACAGCGCGCATAACTCTTCTACAGCAGCCTACTCTTACTTTAACGGATCCCAGTCTAATAACGAGGACAGAGAGGGCCGAGCCGGGCTGAATGAAAATGTGGGTGGCATAGGGGCCAAGGGGTTTGGGAGAGTGTCGGTGGCGGTGGCGGTGGCGGTGGTGGGGGTGGTGCTGTTGTGCTCAGGTGTGGATGAGAGAGAAGGGGGGGAGGAGGAGGAAGGGTGGGGAGGAGGAGGGGGGAAGAAAATGAGCCAGCAGGCAGAGCAGTAGCGGCCGTGTCTGAACATGAATGGGAGGAGATCCCGAGGGGCATGCTGCAGGGGAGATGGCAGGTTGGTGGATAACGAGGGCAGACAAACAGAGTAAGTCGGGTATGAGCAAGCAAGGCAGGTAAGTACGACTACTGAGCTGACTCAAAAGGCATGGCAAGGCAAACAGGTGAGAGTAGTGGGAGAAAAAACCGTGAAGTGAGGAGTGAGATCATTTTGATAAGCCACTGTTCAAGACCTTGAAAGCAGGTAGCAAAGTAACTGCAATGTCCAGAAAAATAGGATCAAAGGCAACTTGAGAGAAGTCTCTAAAGAGAATATTAGAGTTCTAAACAACTGTGCGCAACCGCTCTGTTAATTTTCTGAAATAAGCGATGAAAAAGCAAGCAACCACTCACTTTCTTGAGCAGCTGAGTGCACTCGTTGAACCTCTCATCGTCTAAGTATGAGAACGTCTCCCTCTCTTCATCCTCCACCACTGCAACCCCTTCTCCCTGCCCCTCCATTCGCTCCTCCTTTCCTTCTCCCTGCCCCCCCTCTTGCCTTCTGAACTCCCCTACTCCCTGCCCTGACCACGCCAACCCCTGCGCCTCAAACGCCGACTGGCGGGTGTATGCTGATCGTTCTCGCCCTCCTCCGTCTCTCCCTTGGTCAAAAGGCAAAGTAGCCGGAGGGGGCATGGCTCCTAGGATCGGAGAGACACCCGCAGAAGCGACAGCAGCAGCAGTGGGACCGGACGGAGTGTTGTTAGTGGCACCGAATGCAGGTGCGGGGAGTGGTGCTAAGGAGGATGGACGGGAGGAGGAGGAGGAGCGGAGAGTGGGTGAGCTGAAGAGAGAGGAGGTGGAGGTGAGAGCACCGAGGTACGACTCTGCTGTTAGGGAGTCTTGGAAGGAGTCTGCTACTGCCTTCTCTGGTTTGGATAGGCTGAGAGAATGGGGATGGTGGCACAGACGTATGGATACGGAAAAGGAACAAAATATTATGCTGACTTATGTTCCCCTGCTCTCCTCTCCCAGTCGACCATATGCAGACGAAATGGATCATGACCACGCAGGCAAGCCACGGGACCACCACCACGCGCCTGCCTCGTCAGCTGCGGGTCCTGCTGCCACGTCAGTGGGAGGTACTGGAGGCGGGCTATCAGCTGCTCCTGCTGTGGGTCCACCTGGATTTTCATTCCCTGCCTCCGCTGCCACGTCATCTGCATGTGAGAATAACGGTCATCGGTTGGATCTAGGTTTCGCATAGGCATTTTCTTTAGGGTGATGTCTTAGAACCAGGGACCTTTTACTTTTGTGTCCGCAAAGGCATGGCTTCTTGCAATCGCAGTTTCGGTTTCACATGCTTGACCACACACTTCAGGTGCGTGGCCACACGCTTTAGGTGCGTGACCACACACTTTAGGTGCGTGACCACACACTTTAGGTGCGTGACCACACGCTTTAGGTGCGTGACCACACACTTTAGGTGCGTGACCACACGCTTTTAGGTGCGTGACCATACACTTTAGGTGCGTGACCACACGCTTTCTCGGCTTCGTTTCCATGTTATTGTAATTCTTTGATTGGTTCCCGGTGGAGACTTCCACCTTTCGATTCAACCTCCCTCTCTCGCTCATTCGCTCTCTCCCTCTCGCACTTACCCTCCTCCCCTCCCTCCTCCCTCGCATTGACCATCCTCCCCTCCGGCATTCAACCTCCCTCCCTCGTATTCACCCCTCCCTACGTGCAACACCATTCTAATCACCATCATAATCACCAGCTGCTGGAGTGCGTCCATCCTCCCCCAACGTCCACCCGCCTTCGCCTCTAACCCAGCAGCAAGCCTCTGTTGCGTCTGAGCCGACCGCAGCAGGAGCCATGCAAGCAGCCGGCAGTGCAGAGCCGGTGCCACCAAGATACGCTGCATCTTTGTCATTGCCCTCCGCCCTTGGAAGCACTCAGTTGGACTGAATCTATGTCCTTCAATTTCTTTGCACTCCTCCTTTAGAAGCACCCCGCTCCAGTGATCCACAGCACAGGTGCTGCACCGGGAGTCTCTGCTTCCTCACCGTGTTTCCGTGTTTCCGCACTCGGCCTCTCTCAGGATTTCGTCTGCTACATGAAAATCACTCTTGAGAATTCTCAAAAGTGATTTCCGTGATTCCGCACTCGGCCTCTCTCAGGATTTCATCTGCTACATGGAAATCACTCTTGAGAATTTTCATAAGTGATTTCCGTGATTCTGCACTCGGCCTCTCTTAGGATCCCGCCTGCCCTCAACCCAGTCAACAATCGACCACACCCGCTCTTGCCCAATTCCAAATATCCGATGCCCATATCTTCCTTTTTTTGTCCCCCACATCTTCCCACCCTCTCTCACTCTCTCCTCCGTTTCTCGTCTCTCCCTCAACCTCCTCTCAGACCCCATTCCGTCGCCACCCAGTCATCTGTGCCACCACTGCCACCTGTAGCTTCTGCTGCTGAGGCTGCTGCTGGCAGCAGCATCAGTGGAGGGGCCGCAACAGTAAGGGGCGCAACTGTTGGTATTGGGGCGGTGGGGGGTGGCACAGCAGCAATAGGAAGTGGGTCCCACCAGGCCCAGCAGGCCCAGCAGGCCCATCAAGCACAGCAGCGGCACCAGGAGGAGGTGCAGAGAATGCTGGCGGCAAAGTGGGCGGCGGTGCAGAGAGCAAGGCAGATGGGCGTCACAGGGCACTTCAAGCCGTGTGACTCCATGTTTGGGAACTCCCTCGTTCCTGTTCCAACAACCTCAGTAGCAGTCCTAGATTCAGTGTGGCCCTCAGTTTTGTTGGGCACGTCAGACCACTTCAAGCCCTGCGACTCCATGTTACTGTTGTTCCGTTCCAACAACTATCGCAGCAGCAACATGTGCCTACCACGAGCATGATCAAGAGCACGGTATTGCACATGGTTCTAGCCTTGTGAATCTAAACAGTTGTATGTTGTTCCAAGTGCATGGATAATGAAACGACAGTTACATCATTGTGTGTGTGTTAATTACAACATTCTCTGGTGTCTAAGCATTCTGTCAATGTAAGCATTCTTTCAAAGTACACTGCAATTACTCGTTAACTGAATATTCTTGTAATCGCGTCGAGACACAAGCACAAGCTTTGTTGGCAGCAGTTTTGGGATTTTCAGGAGGGTAGGTCCAGCGTAGGTCCAGGTGTCCCCGCCTTCGCGGACATATTGGAGGTATCTCCATTCCTATTCGTCAGAATGTCGGTCGATTTTTCGCCTGCTGCCATGCCTTCCGCTGTATCCAATCAGCACCGTCGAAATGGCGAGCGCTTCGAGAATCTCGCACAGCTGTCCTGCGAAAATAGGGCCATTTCGCTGGGGCCTCGGATACACCTCAACTTCACGGGCTGGGGCGGGAAGGACTGGAGAAATCGAGGGCTGGGGGAAGAATCGAGGGCGGCTGGAGAAATCGAAGGGTGGAAGAAACTCGAAGCACCTTTCTGCATCACGCGCCACTAACTAGTTCCTTTCCTCCAACTCTTGTTATTGTCGACCTTACGTCTCCCAACGTTCTCTTCAGACTTGCTTCTCTTTCTTCTCCCTCCTACCAGCCTCCACGGCGGCGTGGCATCGTTTCTTGCTCGCGCGACCCTCGCTTTCAGTTGATCGAGGTCGCCCTCGTTCGATCGCCGCGTTTTGAAGCACCCCATAGTGTACATTGTAAACCACGTCTTTAAACGTACCTCGGAACCACACCTCCTCTCACTCATCACCGCGGCGCGTCCGCACGAACTTATAGTACTCGTGATCCACATCAGCATAAGAGTACTCGTTACGAACGAACCGCGCCGAACCGACACAATGAGCCGACAGGTCGCACGAGCCCTGCTGGGCAGAGCAGAGCCTCTCCTGCAGCGCCACGTGGCGTGCAGCGGAGGAGGCAGCAGCCACGCAGTAACTAGTTACATCGGTAACGGTCACCGCCATGCGTGCGGCCGCGTCAAACCTGACAAAATACTAGCGTGAGTTTGGCTTAGGAGCCATAGTAGCTTAGGTGACTTGGTGAAGTTCGAGGGTGTAGGGTGTAAGGAAAATGTCGAGAGAATTGTAAAGGAGAATGGTGAAACTAGAAAGGAGGGGGATACAAGTAGTAAGCCCTAAAAGGGTTATACTCACTTTTGAGTACCCCACTACAGACTAGACATGCATTATAATCTGACACACCCCCATAGTCAAAGTGGGGTATAATCAGTACAGCATGCAGGCATAGAGCTAGAGTTCACAATAGGTAAGAAAGGCTAGAGCTAATCACAGAGGGCAAGTGAGGAGGAGGAGAGACTGTGGGGGAGAGAAGATGGGAGGCGACTGCTGACGCTGCAGACACACAGACGAGCTGCTGGCTCAGTGGCTACCGGAACAGCGCTCCGGACTACTGGGGTAATTGGCCCCGCGGCTAAAAGTAGCGGCAGACGAGCAACGGACCCACGGGCGACTGGCGACTACCGGAGATTGTAGCCTCCGGACTGCTGCTGCTGCTGCTGACGACAAGACTGCTGCCTCCACTCGACCTCCCCAGCTGCCTAACGCCCTTCTCACACACCCCCTGCTCAAACCCTAGCCCTACACCCACAGCACCCCCTTAAACCCTAAACCCCAGACTCCCACACATCCACCCCCCTCAGCGAGAGCTGCAGTAGTGGGAGACGAAGGAGGAGGAGGAGGAGGGAACGGCACGCACAACCGACACCCCCACAACCATCACCCCCACACCCACCCCCCCACGGCTGCACCGGGTCCAGGAGCGGCTGCTGCAGGGGCCAGGGGCGGCTGCTGCTGGGGCGGCTGCTCCAGGGGCTGCTGCTGCTGGGGCGGCTGCTCCAGGGGCTGCTGCTGCTAAGGCGGCTGCTCCAGGGGCTGCTGCTGCTGGTGCGGCTGCTCCAGGGGCTGCTGCTGCTGGGGCGGCTGCTCCAGGGGCTGCTGCTGCTGGGGCGGCTGCTCCAGGGGCTGCTGCTGCTGGGGCGGCTGCTGCTGGGGCGGCTGCTCCAGGGGCTGCTGCTGCTGGGGCGGCTGCTCCAGGTGCTGCTGCTGCTGGGGCGGCTGCTCTAGGGGCTGCTGCTGCTGGGGCTGATGCTGCTGGGGCGGCTGCTCCAGGTGCTGCTGCTGCTGGGGCGGCTGCTCCAGGGGCTGCTGCTGCTGGGGCTGCTGCTGCTGGGGCGGCTGCTGCTGGGGCGGCTGCTCCAGGGGCTGCTGCTGCTGGGGCGGCTGCTCCAGGGGCTGCTGCTGCTAGGGCGGCTGCTCCAGAGGCTGCTGCTGCTGGGGCGGCTGCTCCAGGGGCTGCTACTGCTGGGGCGGCTGCTGCAGGGGCTGCTGCTGCTGGGGCGGCCGCTGCAGTGGCGGCGGCTCCAGGGGTTGCTGCTGCTGGGGCGGCTGCTCCAGGGGCTGCTGCTGCTGGGGCTGCTGCTGCTGGGGCGGCTGCTGCTGGGGCGGCTGCTCCAGGGGCTGCTGCTGCTGGGGCGGCTGCTCCAGGGGCTGCTGCTGCTGGGGCGGCTGCTCCAGAGGCTGCTGCTGCTGGGGCGGCGGCTCCAGGGGCTGCTACTGCTGGGGCGGCTGCTTCAGGGGCTGCTGCTGCTGGGGCGGCCGCTGCAGTGGCGGCGGCTCCAGGGGTTGCTGCTGCTGGGGCGGCTGCTCCAGGGGCTGCTACTGCTGGGGCGGCTGCTCCAGGGGCGGCTGCTGTTGCAAGGCAGGCCGCTCCAGGGGCGGCTGCTTCAGGGGCGGTGGCTCCAGGGGCGGCTGCTGCAGCGGAAAGTAGGAGGGAGGGGAGGGGAAGGGCGCGGCCCCCATTGTGCCCTGACGGGCGATGTGCTAGGGAGCCGCGCAGGTCCCCAAAAGTGCCTCGACTGGCAACGAGAGGGGACCGCGCGCAGGCCCCTAAGGCGCCGCGACGAGGCAACGGGAGGGGCCGGCTCGCGGGCCCCGAAAGTGCCGCGACGAGGCGACGGGAGGGACCTGCGTGCAGGCCCCCAAAACGCCTCGACGAGGCGACGGTCGGGGCCAGTGCGCGGGCCCCTAAGACGCCGCGACGAGGTAGGAACCCTCCGCGCGCCCCGGGGCGCACGGCGGGCAGAAAACCGCCACGCGCTCCGAGCGCGTGGCGGGAAGAAAAATGGGATGTCGCGCGCCACGGGGCGCGTGACACACAGTAGGGCAGCGGAATCGAGTGGGCCCACAGGCCAGGAACGTTAAGCTCGGATAACATGTCAAAATACTAGCGTGAGTTTGGCTTAGGAGCCATAGTAGCTTAGGTGACTTGGTGAAGTTCGAGGGTGTAGGGTGTAAGGAAAATGTCGAGAGAATTGTAAAGGAGAATGGTGAAACTAGAAAGGAGGGGGATACAAGTAGTAAGCCCTAAAAGAGTTATACTCACTTTTGAGTACCCCACTACAGACTAGACATGCATTATAATCTGACAAAACCCCCAGTGCTGCCCGTCAATGTCAACCCGATGCTGTCGCCTTCGTACGGCGCTCGGCGCTTCTCCTCCTCCGCCTCCGCCGAATCCGCTCCGAAGCACAAGCCCGATCTGGTCAGTATCTGATCTTGATCCACTCGGGAAGGATGCGTTTCCCTTTCGCACAACATTCCAAATCGGGTGCATTCCCTTTCGCGTAAGTGCCCAGACTGGAAGCTCCCCATTCTTGTCTTACGTCTTTCTTCCGTTTCTAGGCAATGCAATGCCGTTCCTCCCCCGCAGTGCTCTCATTGCCCCTCCTTTCATTGCCGTTCCGTCCACTGTTATGTAAACAGCCCCTCCTTTCACGCAACTGATCCGCCGGAATCGTTCGGTTATCTGCAGGTCAGCCAGAGGCGTCGGAATCGTCAACTTGCTGCGAACCCGCCATTCATCCGCCGTTCCTGTTTCTACCTTTTTTTCCGGTTTCACATTCTTTTCTTTCCCGCAGCTGCGCATTCTCGCCGCGTGCGCGCTCGGATCGGGTGCCGCCGCGGGCGTTGCGGTATCCATCATGGATCCCAAGACCTTCAGGTGCGACTCGACCAACGTCGTAAACAGGTTGCACCGCTACTGTGATGGCTTTCAGCGAGTAATGTATCGCCACGGCTGCAAAACGTTAGGAGCTTAAACAATGCTGTTACCCTTTTCCTTCACAGGCTTGAACCTCGTGCTTCCCCGCATCTCTTGCGTTCTCTCTTCTCCCCCTGTGGCTCCCCGTGTTTCCCCCTTAATGCCCACAACAGCGCGCTCTCCTTCGCGGCAACGGACTACATGACGCCATTCATCCGCCTGCTCGACCTCTCGTTGAGGATCTTTTTTCACCCTCCTTCCCCATGCCCCCCATATCCCTTCCCTCCATACCCCCCCCATGCCCTCCCCCACACCCCAGCGCGCTCTCCTTCGCGGCAACGGACTACATGACGCCGTTCATCCGCCTGCTCGACCCGGAGACGTCCCACCAGCTGGCCGTGCTGTCGGGCGAGTGGGGCCTCACTCCGCGCGACTACCGCCCGGACCCGCCCGCCCTCGCCACCACCGTGTGGGGGCGGCGCTTCAGCAACCCCGTGGGCATGGCGGCGGGCTTTGACAAGGACGCGCGCTGTGTGGACTCCATGTTCGCTCTCGGGCTGGGGTTTACCGAGATCGGGAGTGTGACTCCGCTCCCCCAACCCGGCAACCCGAAACCTCGCTGCTTCCGGCTCACAGAGCAGAAGTGAGTGCGTTCAACCCGAAACCCTCAACCTTGGAGAGGTTTGACAAGGACGCGCGCTGTGTTGACTCCATGTTCGCCCTCGGCCTGGGGTTTACTGCGATCGGGAGAGTCACGGCGCTTCCCCAACACGGCAACCCCAAGCCCAGATGCTTTCGGCTGACAGAGCAAAAGTAGGTGCTTTGAGACCGTTTAATCCTGAACCCAAAACCTTCAGACTGGCGGGCTTGGGGTTTAGCGAGATTGGGATTGTGACGCCACTGTCTCAGCCTAGAAACCCCAAGCCCCGCTACCCTGAAGTTAAAACCTTGAACCCCTGAACCCTGATGGGTTAGCCCGCTTGTGTTGACACCCATGTTCGTGCTCGAAAACCCCAAGCCCTATCTCTTTTGACCCTCAGTGTAGAAGTAAGTGTTTGAAGCCTTGAAGCCCCGACAGTGAGGGGTTTGTCTTCTGAGCCAGCTCACCCAATCCGCTCTCCTATGCTCCTGCTCTACCTATCCCCCCCACCCCCTCCAGGGCCGTGATCAACCGCTACGGCTTCAACAGTGCGGGAATCGCTGACGTGGCGGAGAGGCTCGGCGCGTGGCAGGCTCGGCGGCAGCAGCGGGCAGCGCAGGAGCAAAAACGGGCAGCAGCGGATGGGCAGGCGGCGAAAAAAGAGAACGTGGTGGAGGAGAGAGTGAGGGACGGAGTGCTGGCGGTGAACCTGGGGAAGAACAAGACGAGCGAGGATGCGGCGGGGGACTATGTGCAGGGCGTGCATGCTCTGGGTCAGTTTGCAGACGTGCTGGTGGTCAATGTGTCCTCCCCCAACACGCCCGGGCTGAGGAAGCTGCAGGGAAGGTCGCAACCGCAGGAGCTTCTGCAGCGGGTGAGTGGGTTGGGAGGGGGAAAGGCAAGGGGGGAGTGGGCGGGGTGGGTGGGAGTGGGGCGGGAGAGAGTGGGGGTTGATTGAGTGGGGGGCGAGTGACCTCACCACCGAAGACCTGTCCGATATTGCTGCTGTTCAGGTGGACACTAAAGTCACCTCCCTGCCCTCACCACTCTCTGTCCCTGCCAGGTGCAAGCAGCGCGGAACGAGATGGAGTGGGGCAAGGAGGGTCCTCCCCCTCTGCTGCTCAAGATAGCCCCTGACCTCACCACCGAAGACATGTCAGATATTGCTGCTGTCGCTCTCTCCCTCAAGATTGACGGACTGGTACGTTAATGAGCGAGCTTATAGTGAGGATGGAGTGATTTTTTAGATTCTTTGGTGAAATCAGCCCCCGATCTGACCAGAGAGAACATGTCGCGTATTCTGGCTGTCACCCACTTTCCCAAGATTGACGGACTGGTGTGCTAGCGAGTGAGCTTATAACGAGCATGGAGTGCCCGGTAAGTGGTGTTTCTGTCAAAAGAGAAAGATTTTCTCGTGTTTAACTCCACTTTGTGGTCCCGCGATTGACTTTTGAGTTGACTCAAGAAAATTGTGAATGTAGGCCGTGCAGGAGGCCTCCCTGTTTCTTTCGCCACCCTCCCCGTCACCCCACCAACACCCATCCTCCTGCCCTTACCATGTGAGGAGCACGTAAGAGCTCGTGGGCTCCTGCCCACGACCATGTGTAAGGGCCCACGACCATGTGTAAGGGCCCACGACCATGTGTAAGGGCCCACGACCATGTGTAAGGGCCCACGACCATGTGTAAGGGCTCACGACCATGTGTAAGGGCCCACGACCATGTGTAAGGGCCCACGACCATGTGTAAGGGCCCACGACCATGTGTAAGGGCCCACGACCATGTGTAAGGGCAGGAGGATCGTGGGCCCACCAACACCCTCCACCGTTTCACGCCCTGACAGCATCGTGGGCCTTGTGAATGTGGATACCTTCTCCAATATCTGCACCCCAACCCCTCCCCACCGCCCTCCATCCCTCTCCACACCCACACCAGGTGGTGAGCAACACGACCATCTCACGCCCTGACAGCATCCTGGGCCTGGTGAAAGCGGATGAGGTGGGGGGACTCAGCGGCAAGCCCCTCTTTGAGCTCTCCACTGCTGTGCTGCGCCAGATGTACTCGCTTACTAAGGTGCGTTACTTGATATAATAATGTACTCGCTTACTAAGGTGCGTTACTTGATATAATAATGTACTCGCTTACTAAGGTGTGTAACTTGATACAAGATGTACTTGTTTACTAAGATGCGTATATATATTGGATATACGTATATATACCCGATTAACTTAAGAACTAATAATGTTATCATCAGTGCATGCATCTCCTTGTGCTGTTTTTCATTCCATGTTCTACCTCTTGCTTCTGTACCTTTCTTCATCAACCTCCAGACCTTCCTGCTGTCATCGTGCCTCAACTAAACCTCGCTATCATGCCCAGCTGTCATCTAGCTATTGGCAAGGTGGCAACCACAGCTATTGGCAAGGTGGCAACCACAGCTATTGGCAAGGTGGCAACCACAGCTATTGGCAAGGTGGCAACCACAGCTATTGGCAAGGTGGCAACCACAGCTATTGGCAAGGTGGCAACCACAGCTATTGGCAAGGTGGCAACCACAGCTATTGGCAAGGTGGCAACCACAGCTATTGGCAAGGTGGCAACCACAGCTATTGGCAAGGTGGCAACCACAGCTATTGGCAAGGTGGCAACCACAGCTATTGGCAAGGTGGCAACCACAGCTATTGGCAAGGTGGCAACCACAGCTATTGGCAAGGTGGCAACCACAGCTATTGGCAAGGTGGCAACCACAGCTATTGGCAAGGTGGCAACCACAGCTATTGGCAAGGTGGCAACCACAGCTATTGGCAAGGTGGCAACCACAGCTAAGCAAATCCTCATTATCGGCTGTGGTGCCACCTACACGCCCACACCCCCTCCCTGCACTCTCCTCTCTCTATCCCTCACATTATATCCCTCCTCCTCCTCTCGCCCTCTCCTTCCTCAGGGTCAAATCCCCATCATCGGCTGTGGTGGCATCTACAGGTAACCAACCCCTTTTCCTCCATCCCAATGTTTTTAATTTTCTTCCCATTCTCCCTCCCACTCTCTGTTGGTGCAACCCTACGGTTTGCACTCGGCTTGTTGTCCGTGTGCGTGAATGTGTGTGTGTATGGAATGGTATGAGGGCATGAGATAATATATATTTCATGCTTATAATTGTGTGTGAATGTTGAGTCATGATGTCGAGTGTGTGTGTCGAGTCAATAGCGAGTTATCGCTAGACGCGTGTTACGCGGTCGTTTGTGTCTCGCGCGCGGTTTCTATTTTGTCGTGCGCGGTTTCTATTTTGTCCTGTGTCGGACGTTCGGCGTGTCGCAGGTGTGTGTAGCAGACCCATCAAGAACTCAAGGATGAGTTTGTGATGAAGAGCCCGAGCCTTGGTGTCAAGCCTCAAGTGATTTCGAAGCTTGCCAAAAGGGTACACCTCAAGATATTGAAGATAGTTACATTACTTTGTGTAGTGTAACATTTCACTTGGTGTAGGCCCTAGTGAAGGGTAGTTTCGAGACCCTTCGTGGTTGGGGACAGTGTGGCACTGTTCCACATCACTGTACCTCGGCTCTTGGGGTTTGTAGGAGCTGGGAGTCATTCCCAACTCGAAACTCTTCCTATCTTGTGTTCTAAGACTATAGTGGCTGCCATAGTACCGTTCGTTCAAACCGACGATGTGTCGTCAATTCTTTATCAAATCGTGCAATCTAAATTGCTAATTGTAGACGACGTGAAGACGCTCCAGATCCAATTTGAATCAAGTCATTTGCAGCTGTGAGAAGAACGCTATCAACGTTTGAAGCCGCTGTGCAGAAATCCGTCTGTGCTCTCTATCTTTCGTTTTAGGCACATTCAAGCCTATTGTGACTATAACAAGTGGTATCAGAGCCCTTGGAGCAGTTTCGACAATGTCTGGACCTGAGGAAAGGGGTGCCAGAGGTGCTGGTGGCAGTGGAGAAGCTCAAGCTCAAGGCCAACCCCGTGATTCAGCCATGGCGCCCATGCAACCAAGTCTTGGCCCACCTAGGGATGAGCCTAGGGTGTTTGGGCTTGACAAGTTCAACGGTGACAACTTTGCTGAATGGTCCTTCAAGATGGAGAACATCTTTGACCACTATGACCTGCTGGAGGTGATGGAAGGAACGGAGAAGCGCCCCGAGAACGACCCGGAGAAGAGCCCGTAGGTGCGGAAGAGCGCACAAGGCTATCTCTTACTTGGGCAAGCGTTGGGGAGCAGTCAGATCCGTCACATCAAGCCATTCCAGCGTGAACCAGAGAAAGGACCAAAGGCATGGGCTGCTCTCAAGGGTGTACATGCTCCTGCAACAGCGGCGGTAGCGGTGGTGTTGGAACGGCAAATGGCGGCACTACGAATTGAAGAAGACGAAGCGGTTGAAGAAGGGGTGCAGAAATTCTTCGACTTGTTGATGCGGCTTGAGGGAGCTGATTTGAACTACAGTGAGCTCCAAAAGAAGACCAAGTTGCTGGCCTTACTCCCAGAGTCATGGTCCTCGCTCATCATCAACCTTAATCGCGACTTGCCCCGCCTCTCGCTTGAAGACGTGAAGCGAGCTATCCTTCAAGAGGATTTCCGCCGCCGTGAGTTGGCGAGTGCGGATGGCGCTGGGGCAGCGAGCATCGGCCGTGGATATGGTCGAGGAAGAGGCAGAGGACGAGGGGGAGGAAGGTTTGGTGGCAGCAACTTCGGCGGAGGCCGCAGGAGTGGCGGTTACGGCAGCGACGACAAGAGCTACGGACGCGGTCGCGGCCGATTCGACGGCGAGTGTCACTATTGCCACAAGAGCGGACACATGTGGCGCGACTGCTACAAACTCCCTGATGGTTGGACCCCTGCTCAAGGCCAAGAGGGTAGAGGAGCAGGAGGAGGGAGAGGACGAGGCCGTGGAGGCCGTGGCGGTCGCGGTGGCGGAGCTGCAAACATGAAGAGCGGAGACAACGACAAGGACCCGAGCGACGATCGATACCCGGGTCTATTCTACTTCGTGTCGACGCAAGTACCGGCTGGTCCAGAGAAGGATGAAGGCTTTGAGGAGCCAGCAGCTGTGGGGAAGGTGACCCTACACCCCCTGGACTATTGGGTGATTGATAGTGGCGCTACCTATAGCATGACACCTCGCCCGGACTTGCTCACCGAACTCGAGCCGTCACCGGTGAAGCATGTCACATCGGCTTTGGGGCAGCGAGCAGAGGTGAAAGGCATGGGCAAGGCCATGTTCAAGGGTGCTGATGGGAAGATGGTGGGCCTCAAGAACGTGCTTTGGGTGCCCAGCCTTGCTGCAAACCTGATTTCCGTGCGGCGGTTGGCAAAGGCCGGCATGGACACGAACTCGAAGGGAGCCAAGACCTACACCGCAAGGCTTGGCGATCGAATTCTTTGGGACCTTCATGAGGACAGGGATGTCTACAACGAGATGTGGCAGATCCCAGTGGTCCCTATGCCTAAGGAGAGGCAAGTGGCAGCAAGCATCAGCACCAAGGATGGAGCGGTCGGTAGCGACGATGGCGCGAACGGTCGCGCTAAGGAGAATGAGCTCAAGAAGAGCAAACCTGGAGGGACCAGCAAGTTTAGTGAACCTAAGGAGAGTGGTGCAGCAACCAAGGAGAAGAAAAAGGGTGAGGAGAACCCAGAGGCAGCAGCGGAGGAGGACTACGGAGAGAGTATGTGGGGCGCTATTGCGAGCGCGGCATTCTCCAATCCAACTTCGGCTACGGGGGAGTGTGATTGGCTCACCTTGCATCGGCGCATGGGGCATGTGGCCCTGCCCATCTTGCAGCAGCTAGTGAAGAATGAGATGGTTGCTGGCATACGTGTGAAGGGGGAGCCCGATGAGGTGCTTGGCTACCCGACGTGCATTCAAGCCAAGTTCACCCGGTTTCCGTTCCCTAGTTCGGAGGCAACGGCAAAGGCACCGCTTGATGAGGTGGTGATGGACGTGGTGGGCCCCCTGAAGCTTGGAGCTGCTGGAGCTGAGTATTTTCTCACCATTGTCGACGTCTACACCCGCATGACTTGGGTGTACGTGCTGGCCAAGAAGAGCGACGTGGCTGAAACGTTGAAGACGGATTGGTTCCCGATGGTGGAGCGGCAACAAGACCGTCTAGTCAAGTCAATCCGCACCGATCGAGGGGGAGATTTCCTGAGCAAGGAGTTTGGGTTGTGGCTGAAGAAGAATGGTATTCGGCACTCCCTCACCATGCCATACTCCCCTGCAATGAACGGCATCGCCGAGCGAGCGAACCGTACAATCACGGAGGCGGCACGCGGGTTGCTCATTGAAGCCGGGCTACCCGACTATTTCTGGCCTGATGCGGTGCGGAGCGCGTGTGTGGCCAAGAACAGAGCCTTGACTCATGTGGGATCAGACAAATGGGTGCCCTATGTGGAGTGGCTAGGAAGGAAGCCAAAGGTGGATATGCTTCGGGTGTTCGGGTGCATGTGCATGGCGCTCGTGCCTAAGCATCTTCGGCACAACAAGCTTGGTGCCAAGGCGGTGTGGGCCGTGCACTTGGGCATGGCTCAAAACAGCAAGGGATGGCTTCTTTGGGACCCATTCACCAAGAAGTTCTTGGTGAGCAGGGACTGCAAGTTCATGGAGAACTTCATGTACAAGGATTGGAAGGCGGAGAATGAGGCGAAGATAGGCGTGCGGTTTGGGGAGGTGAAGAGTTCCGGTTTGGAGCATGTGGAGCTGCCTTTGGAGCTGAGCAGCGGCAGCACAACCACAAGGCAATCCTCCCTTGTGAATGGGGGAGAGGAGGCCAATGATGCAGAGGAAGAAGAGGAGGAGGTGCAGCAAGTGAGCGAGCGTGCACCGTCACTCCCTTCCCGTACTACGAGTGCTCCACGGATTCGAGCCACACCGCAGCAACGCCAAGGCCTTCAAGTCCCTGCAGCTGAGGAGGAAGGAAGGGGGAAGAGGAGAGTTCAACCCCCTAATAGGCTGACCTATGATGCGCCGGGAAAGCAGGGCAAGACAGCCCTGGCCGGAGCGGCAATGATGGTCGGAGACGACGAGGAGAGTGACTACGAGGAGTGTGCCTTCGCGTTCTTCTCTCCGGTGGAGATGCCGGGAGAACCAGCAACTCTCAAGGAGGCTTTGGAGAGTAGTGATGCTGAGGAGTGGAAGAAGGCCATGGAGAGTGAGCTGAAGAGCATCGAGGAGAATGACACGTTTGAATTGGTGGAGCTACCGGAGGGGCGTACGGCGATAACGTCCAAGTGGCTCTTCAAAATCAAGTCGGATGCCGACGGCAAGATCGAGCGCTACAAGTCTAGGCTTGTAGCCAAGGGGTACCAGCAGAAGGAGAAGGTGGACTTCAAGGAGCTGTTTGCCCCTGTGGTGAAGCCGACGACGCTGCGAACCCTATTCGCGGGAGCCGCCATCAAAGGATGGGTAGTAAAGCAAATGGACATCGTAACGGCATTCCTTAACGGCATCCTTGAGGAGGAGATTTTTATGGCGCAGCCAGAGGGGTTTGATGATGGTAGTGGCAGAGTGTGGAAGCTGAAGAAGGCCCTCTATGGGCTGAAGCAGGCCCCTAGGCAATGGTACATGAAGCTGCGCCAAGTGTTGGAGGGGATCGGCTTCACTCCCTCAACGGCCGATCACTCCTTGTTCATGCTTGGCGAGGGGGAGCAGAGGAGTTTCATGGTGGTTTATGTGGATGACATCCTCATTTTCTCACCCTCTTCTGAACTTGTGAAGGAGGTGATGCTGAAGCTTCAAGACAAGTTCAAGTGCAAGGCCCTTGGTGACGTGAGCTTCTACCTTGGGCTCCACATCGAACGAGATGTGGAGAAGCGGTGCATGCGGGTGCATCAACGAAAGTACCTGGAGGCATTGGCTGCCAACTTTGGGCAGAGTGAAGGCCATGTGGATACACCCTTTCCCTCTAGGTTCAAGTGTGTGAAGGGACCAGAGGAGGAGAGCGTTGGTGAAGAGGAGAGGCGCCGATTTCACTCGTTGGTGGGCAGCCTCATGTATGCGGCGGTAAACACCCGACCGGACGTCGCGTTTGCTACCGGGCAGCTGGCTAGGGTTGTGCAATGCCCTAATGAGGAGCAGGTAGCAGCTGGAATGAGGGTGGCCAAGTATCTTGGCCAAACACCGACCGTTGGCTGCAATACTCGGCGGCGGCACAAAGGCGCCAAAAGGGCGCGGATGGTGTTGAACCCGGGCGTTTGTTCCTCACCGCCTACTCGGATGCTTCATATGCATCAGAACCAGAGGACATGACAAGTGTGGGAGGCTTCATATGCTGTGTTGGTGGAGGCCCAACTGCTTGGGAGAGCAAGAAGCAGGTTGACCAAGCTTTGAGCTCGGTGGAGTCCGAGTACATGGCACTCTTCCGTGCCGTACGGGAGATTGTGTGGCAGCGGCGTTTGTTGGCTGAATTGGGGGAGGAGCAGCAAGGACCTACCCCACTGTACTGTGACAGCCAGGGTGTCATTGCTCTTGCTAAGAACCCTGTGTTGCATGGACTCACGAAGCACATGAGGGTGAAGTGGCATTGGACGAGGAGCATGGTAACCGCGGGTGAAGTTGAGTTGCGCTACGTGAAGACCACAGGGCAGCCGGCTGACATGATGACCAAGAGGCTGGTGGAGCAGCAGCATTGGAAGTGTTGCAAGCTGGCTGGGATGGCTCTGAACTGAGAGAGCAACATATCCTAAGGCCAACAATCCGAGGGGGAGTTTGTTGGTGCAACCCTACGGTTTGCACTCGGCTTGTTGTCCGTGTGCGTGAATGTGTGTGTGTATGGAATGGTATGAGGGCATGGGATAATATATATTTCATGCTTATAATTGTGTGTGAATGTTGAGTCATGATGTCGAGTGTGTGTGTCGAGTCAATAGCGAGTTATCGCTAGACGCGTGTTACGCGGTCGTTTGTGTCTCGCGCGCGGTTTCTATTTTGTCGTGCGCGGTTTCTATTTTGTCCTGTGTCGAACGTTCGGCGTGTCGCAGGTGTGTGCAGCAGACCCATCAAGAACTCAAGGATGAGTTTGTGATGAAGAGCCCGAGCCTTGGTGTCAAGCCTCAAGTGATTTCGAAGCTTGCCAAAAGGGTACACCTCAAGATATTGAAGATAGTTACATTACTTTGTGTTGTGTAACATTTCACTTGGTGTAGGCCCTAGTGAAGGGTAGTTTCGAGACCCTTCGTGGTTGGGGACAGTGTGGCACTGTTCCACATCACTGTACCTCGGCTCTTGGGGTTTGTAGGAGCTGGGAGTCATTCCCAACTCGAAACTCTTCCTATCTTGTGTTCTAAGACTATAGTGGCTGCCATAGTACCGTTCGTTCAAACCGACGCTGTGTCGTCAATTCTTTATCAAATCGTGCAATCTAAATTGCTAATTGTAGACGACGTGAAGACGCTCCAGATCCAATTTGAATCAAGTCATTTGCAGCTGTGAGCAGAACGCTATCAACGTTTGAAGCCGCTGTGCAGAAATCCATCTGTGCTCTCTATCTTTCGTTTTAGGCACATTCAAGCCTATTGTGACTATAACACTCTCCAACACTCTTTCTCTCTCTTCCACATACTCCGTTTTCTCTCTCTTTCCCCTCTTCCCGTCTTCCCTCTCTCACTACACTTCTCTTCCCATCCCTCTCCCACCCACCATCTCATTGCATCCAAGTTACACCCTTGCCCCACCACCATAAGATCTTCGCCTTTTTCTATCCCCAGAATCAACTTGTGCTCTTTATATCCTCCGTTCTCCACTATCACAACCCAGCTTTTTGAGATGTCTCAAAACTCTCTTTACCCCTTGAAGCAACCTGTGCTATTCATTTCCCCTTGAAGCAACCTGTGCTATTCATTTCCCCTTGAAGCAACCTGTGCTATTCATCTCCCAGCTATCCAAATTCAGCGAAGGAACCTCATGACATTTTTGCCTTCGTCCTTATAAAATGCTCTTCATTAGTGTATCTTTCTTCGTTCCCAAAAATCCCCTGCGTCCCTGATACAGTGGCGAGGATGCTTATAAGAAGATCCTGGCGGGGGCCTCATTGGTTCAGCTGTACACCTCTATGGTCTTTGAGGGAGCTGGCGTGGTGCCGAAAATCAAGGTGAGCGAAATAAAGTCAACATGAGTCAAACCAAATCAAGGTGAGGGAAATAAAGTCAACATGAGTCAAACCAAATCAAGGTGAGGGAAATAAAGTCAACATGAGTCAAACCGAATTAATGTGAGGGAAATGAAGTCAACATGAGTCAAATTGCATAAATATGGGAGAAATTAGGTCAGCATGAGTTAAGCCAAGCCAAGCTGAGACAAACCAAGTCAAGGCAGGTCAACCTGAAATTTGAGGGGGCTGAAGTGGAAGATCTGAAGGGGGGCCTCATTGGTCCAGCTGTACACCTCTATGGACTTCGAGGGAGCTCGAGTTGTGCCTAAGATCTAGGTGCGTCAAGCCAAGTGAAGGTGAGTCAAACCAAGCCAACGAGAGTCGAGAAAAAATTACACATTGTGTCAAAGCAAGTCAACCTGCAGTGGGCTCAGGACGGATGTGTCCTCTCCTGGACCTGAGTCAAGTTTTTGAGCAAGCAAGGAACTACTCACATAGCCTGTCACTACTGTAAGAGGCTGCTCACTACGTTTTGTATAGGCTGCTCACATGTTAATGCGTTCTCTTCCCTCCATGTGTCCCCATTCCCCCCCTCTTTCCACCTCCTTCCACTTGTCCCACTTCTCTAACTTGGGTCTTCCCAATTGGCAGAAAGAATTGGCCGAGTGCCTCGCCCGCGATGGAATTGCATCAGTATCAGATGCAGTGGGGGCAGATCACAGGGAGGCAAGCAAGGGGTTGTAGCATGAAAAATTCAAGCGTAGTGTAACACCACGACGGGGTTCAATAGGATGAGCCCTTTCAGTTGCGTCCAATAAATGTGTGGCTAGATGGGATTGATGTGATTAGGTAGCCTGGACTATTGAATGAAGTGTCTCTGGTTAGTGTCATCACTAATGCGGATCAATAGTTCACTTATGGCTCTTCTGCAATGTAGACTACTGCTACTACTCAATCTGCATCCTGAATTTGAAAAAGATGTTACAAGCACTGAAGGCAATGTATAACGAGTACATGCTCAAATTGTGGGAAGCGGCGCGACCTCATTCACCTTCTTCCAAGCAGGGCGGGTGTACAGGCGGCTGAGCCAGGCCTTGACATTTGGGCGGGATTCAAACAAATCTCCCACTCCCGCCATCTTGAGATGCTCTGTAACCAGCAGATGTGTCAGGTCTGCGAGAGTGATCGAGTCGCCCACCAGATACTCCCGCCCTTCCAGGTGCTTCTCGTAAACATCGAGGATCTTCTCCAGCTGCACATCGCAAGGGATGGAATGGGGGAGGAAGAGAAACAAATTTGCGTGCGACGACCACCTTGTTCGGGAAGTCACTTGTGACGATGTCCGAAAGGCAGCGTTCTAAGCACGTCGCTAGATGCCATGAGATGATAAGTAATAGTCAGTCATGGTCAGCCAGTTTCGCCAGCATTTGCGCACGTCCTAAGGCAAGCCGTAAGTTGCAAGAAGAGGTGATGATGCTATGAACGAGAAGCAAGATGATGAAGATGTCGCAACAAAAAACGACACCGCACCTTTTTCGTCGCCGCGGCGACCCTCTCTTCGTCAGGCTCGCCGAGGTTACGAAACTTCTTAAAGACTCGCTCGGACGCGATCGCGATCGCCTCGGGCGTGTACGCGTTGACCTCCGTCTCGATCCACTGGTTCACGCGGCCTCGCTCCAACGCGTCCTTCCCCAGCAGGTTGACTCCGCGTTCCGCGCCGTACTTGTCGGCGAGATAGCGCATGATGGCTCGAGACTCTGGAAATGGGAGGCAAATGGACAGGTCAAGGCAACTCACTGAGCTGCGTCGATTTGAGAACAAACGCCGTGCAGCCGCAGCAGTGTCGAGTGGGTAGCACGTGTAAGTTTTACTAAACAGAGCTCTTTGGGGAAAATGGACATCTCGATGATACGGCATCTCAATTCCCAACAACTAGTGGTTACAGTGCAACACCTTATTGGAGCCGAAATGGGTTGTCAAGGACCTCCTGGCCGCGAGGAATCGACGAGGTTCGACATGATGCAATGGCGCGATGGTGTTACAAGGTGCTAGTTCATATCACGTACCTTCATTTGAACCATCCAGTACTCTGCATCGCCGGATGCACCTATCTCGGGTAAGAACACCCCAGAGGCACTCACTGTGGGCTTTGAGAGAGGCGCCTCCCGAAAGGGTTGCATGCCCAACCGTATCACCCGTCAACCAGCGCAGTCCTCAGGTGCACCTTCCCTAAATCCGCCTTCCCAATATCCGCCTACCCCAGATGCATTTGCCATGGGCTTTAAGCCGAGCCTTCACAGAGGACTGCATGCAATCGTATGTCCGTTCACTCGACCCAGTCCCCGAATCCACCTACCCCAGATGCACTCGCCGTCGTCTTCGAGCAGAGGCACCTTCCCAAAGGGCTGCTTCGCGAGGTACGCGGGCGTGCGCGCCTCGCCCTTGGGGGCGTTCACCTGCTCCCACTCGTAGTCCTGCGCGCGCGCGGGGGTGGGGGGGTTGGCGGGGGATTGGGGGGGTGGGGAGAAGGGACGGAGGAACTTGCGAAGGAGAATCCAGACACATGTTACTAAATCGATTCGCCCTTGTTACTAGTCTTGGGGACGTCAACCTACTCCCATTCGTAGCCCTGCTTTGTGAAAAGGAGGGGAGGGGACGGAAAAAGCAGGAATTGAAGGGTAATGAAGTAATAATCGGGGATAACCGGGGTGTAATGTGCGAAAGGAACGGCGTTGGGTTGAATATTTGTATGGGGAACACTTACTTGCTTTCAGCTGCGTCAGTCCTACTTTCAGAATAAAGGGAATGTACGGGAGATTTGATATTGCTGTCAGATTGCACCGAGGGGAATGTCGTGTCGTAACACGTCATCATGCGACCTATCTTCAAGCCGCGCTGAGAAGGTGTGGATTATGCCAGATTCGCAGGCTTACGTGGGGTATGGACCTGATATAAGGGGCCCCGCGGGTCGCACCTCAATGCCGAGTTCGTGCAGCGTGAGCAAGACGCGGCGGACGAAGGGCGAGTAGCCCATGCCGTAGAGCTTCAAACTGGCCATCTGATGTGAACGTGCCGAGGCTCGGTTCCAACGAGGGTAATGGTCTGCAGCTGCTTGGAGCTTTACTCGATTTGGACGAAGTGTTTCGCTTTCGAGCCGAGAGAGTCACCGCTTGTAGTGGATCTACTAAGCGAGTGCCGGAGGAGCAGGTTGTTTGACACTCGGATGAACAACAGATGTCGGAGGAGCAGGCTTCTTGTTTTCCGAAATTGGTCTTGTGTGCCGTTTCTTGTACGTCCATCCCATCTAGCCTGATGGCTGTCCCACAGTCCTAGCACCTCGAATCCCGCTGTTTCCTCGCGCCTTCGATTGTTGGTCATGCGTTCGTCAGCGCGACCCGAGGGCAGAATGCAGAAGGAAGGTTCATTTCACTTGGAAGAGTCACGAAGATGACGTTCAATAATACAGATTAGCTGTGGTACACTACCATATAATACCTCTTCCATGCTTAATGAACAGAGTTATAAATGAATAACCGTATAATTTACAGATAGGAGGGCGATGATTTCCACACAATTTTATTCAACGCTTTTAGTATGGATTAGAATTACTGGCAAGTTAATCAGTAATTTGTGGAGGAATTGACCCATTTGTGCTCTGCAAAATCAACCAAGGTCCACAAGTAAGCAAGGATCCCACCCCCCAAAACCATACTGAACTCTGGAAACTGAAGATACAACTCATCAAGAATCTCGTCCACGCTGATTCGGCTCCTTGGATCAGCAGAGAGCATGCGAATGACGAGATGCTTGGCTGGCGAAGACAACTGCTGCTTTTGCTCGCTGTGCTGTTGCCATAGAAGGGGAAAGTGCCGCAGAGGTTCATGAAGAGCACGACACCAGCGCTCCACACATCGCACTCAGCGCCGTACGACTCAGGAAAAACCTCTGGCGCCATGTAGTTTGCTGTGCCGACCTCTCCCGATCGTGCAACACCATGAGTGTGCCGAGCGGCCAAACCAAAATCACATAGCTTTACACTAACAGCCTTCGACATTAGCTTTCCTTGTACGCTCATTATTAGCATGTTGTTATAGTAGGATGTTTTTAGGTTTGATGTCGCGGTGCATGATGCCATGCGAGTTGCAGTGCTGCAAGGCCAGCATGAGCGATCGGAAGATGTGCGCTGCAGAAGGTTCCGAGAGCCTTCTCGACGAGTCAATGCGGTCAAACAGGTCTCCCCCCTCACAGATCTCCATCACCACGTGGACGTGCTGGGCGGGGGGGAGGAAAGGGGAAGGGGAAGAGGGGAACGTGTTAGGCAAGAGACAAGGGCAAGAATGAATGTGGCAGGACACTCAGGGAATATAATGGAAGGGCTTAGTACTAGAGACTCATGCATGTAACGTTGCATCTGGAAATAACTGGATGTATCTGGATGAGCAATACGGAGGATTCTGGATGCTTACCCTGTGCGTCTCCACGGCCTGCTTGATCCGAATGATGTTGGGATGACCCTTAAGCTCCTCCATAAATGCCACCTCATACCGCACCGCCTCCACGCCAGCATCACTCTGCACAGTTGGGTAGCCAGGAGCACAGATAGGAAAGGAAAATGAGTTGGGGTACTAGGTTGGTCGGAAATGACAGGAGAACACAGAAGCTGAAGCCGAGAAGAAGAGGCGGCGTAAAGGAGCAACGAGATGGAACCCAAGCAAAGTGAAGGTGAAGGAGAATGCAGAAAGGGATAGGGTTTAGCTGAAGGACAAAACAGAAAGGTATAGGGTTCTAGGTGAAGGAGGAACCAACCTGAATGGCAGCCTTCCGAATGCTCTTGTAGGCAGCGATCTCTCCGGTGCTGTGGTGCACGCATCTCAGTATCACACCATACTGCCCCCTACCAATCTCCTTCTTCAGCAGAAGCCACCTCCGCCGAATGTCCTCCACTGGCCGCCCCAACACATCCCCCACTTGAACCTCCTCTCTTGTGCTGCTGGAATTGCGTGTCCACATGCGTTGGCTTCCAGAGGCTCAACCGAGGCTGCGGGCTCGGATTCCAGTTCCAGAGCTGACTTCGAGGCTCGGTGTTTGAGGCTGGCGTCAATGAGCTGGGCGGAATGAGCCCATCAGGAGCATCGTGGAACCACTACTGCAGTAGCGAGTGCCGCTGCTTCCGCCGCACCACCATTGGTGCCGTTTTAATCGCTGCCGCGGCCTTGGTAAACCAATCCTCAAGTGCAACGTCGGCTGCCGCGGCAGTCCCGCGCTGAAACGCGGAGAGTGAGTCTTCAGCCTTACCCACTAAAAAGTTCCTAGATAGGTTCTAGCTCTGCTCAAAGTCTTTGCTCGACTGGCTAAGTCAATCTAGCTAGGGGATGGATGTGCTTGCCTTGGTTGGCTCCTCGGTATGCTTGGCTCTAGGATTTCGCTAGGCTCAACTTTTGCTCAGTGTGGAAACAAACAAGCAAGCAAGGCACTCCTTCCCCTACGCTTGCCTAAGTATCTTGCAGGTGGTTACCGTTGCTACCAATGGTGCAGCCACTTCGCCCGCATCTCAAATCATCCCGCTTGCCACTTTCAATTTCCCACATGCCTCCCTACAGTATCATCCTATATATGCCCCTTGTCTTGCCTTTATATTGTTTCAGTCTACTCCTACGATTAAAAGCACGACAGCTGTCGAAATCACACTCTTCCTTGCTCCTCTTCCGGTGCCTGCTTTGCTACTGCCTTCTTGGTTGCTCTTGCTTTCTCTCCTTAATTTCTTTTGTGCCCTCAGCTCTCTGTTCAGTCCTTGGGTCTTTGTTGCAGCCGTACCCACTTGCCCCCTCCTCGGCCCCTTCCTTGCTTCTTCTTGCCGATGGATTGCTTCCCTGGAAGCCTGCTCTGTCTTCTCTGCTTCCTGTGGACCGTCCTCCTGCCCTTCTCTCCTTGGTCTGGCTTTGGCCACGTTTGTGCTGTGATTCCTCTTCTCTTGTCCTCTCTCGCTCACCAGCACCACCACTCCGAATTCTTTCACCTCCTTCACCCTCTACCTTTCGGTACTTAGCCCTATATCCATCATGTCTTGTCTCGCTTCTTCACATACACTTCCTCTCCCACGCCCAGTTCCTTCTCTCTTTTCTTGGAGCCGCCTTCCCTCCTCTTCTTGTACCTCTGGGCATCTTAGCTGCGCCACATGCAGATTTTCTAGCGCCGCTGGCAGTAGCTCTCGCAGGTACCTTGCTCTGACCTCCGCCAATTCCACCCAGTTCTCCTCTGATGCTACCGTGACTACTCCTGTCAGTCGTCTGGGTGCATCTACTGGCAGTATGGGCTTTCTTCCCAGGAGCAGGTAATACGGGGAGAGGTCCTAGAGTGTAGCTTGCTTGCTGAACCTGTACCCCGCTGCCACCCACGGCAGTCTGGCATCCCAGTCTCTTTTGAAGTTTTCTCTGTATGCTCGCAGCCCCTTCTTTACTGTCTGCACGAACCTCTCTTTCAGGCCATCGCTCTGCGGGTGGTACCGTGAGGCCCGCCTGTGGGTGATGCCACTTTCCTTCAGCAGCTTCTCGAACTCCCCTAAGAACTCTGTCCCTTGGTCGGTCAGTACAACCTCAAACGCCCCAAACCTGGTCAGCACCTGCTCCTCGAATGCTTCGGCTATCCTAGCCGAGTTCTTGCTCGATGGCGCTCTTTCCTCTACCTATTTGCTCCTGTGCTCAATCATGATAAGGATGCACCGCTTTCCTCGTCGGCTTAGGGGCATCTCTCCCGCTAGGTCCAAGGACCACATGAACCCTATTCCTCTGATTGGCAAGGACTGGAGCTCCTCCCTTCCCCTTTCCAGCTCTGCTTTGTTCCTGCTGCACAGCTCGCATGCCATCATCCATTCCTTAATCTCTCTTCTCATACGTGCCCACCACCACCCTGTCTCCACTAGTTGACAAGTCCAGAGGCTCCCATAATGCCCCAGCTGCCTGTGCACTTTCGCTATTATCCCTTCCATCTGCTCTCTCCTCGGCACCAGCTTCCACCCTTCCTTGGTGTTTTTCTGGAGTTGCTCCTGATACCACCTATAATGGGCTCCCCTCGCTCTTGCTCTCTCGCTGACTATCTCTGCCTCCATCGTCTTGCCTTTTATCCAGCGTAGCGTCTCTGGGTCTTCCCAGACATCATCCGCCCCTTTCTGTTGCCTTTTCTTGGCTCCTTCTCCATCTATATCTCTAGCCAGTGCCACCAAACATGCTATCGGACTAGTGGGTGGCGGGTTCCTTCACAGCCCGTCCACATGTTGCAGCGTCTTGCCGGGCCGGTGTCTGATGCTGAACTCATATTCCTGCAGTCTCATGGCCCATCTCGCGTTCCTGCCTATGAGCGCCTGATTGGTCATTAGCCAAGTCAGTGGCTGGTGGTCCATCACTAGGACGAATGGCCTCCCTCGCAGGTACACCCCGAAATGCGTGATGGCCTAGACTGCTGCCAATTCTTCTCCTTCGTATGAGCTGTAGTTTGCCTCTGCAGGATTGCAGCTCCTGCTGGCAAAAGCTAGTAGCATTTTTTGCCCTTCCCTTTCCTGACAAAGGATTCCTTCCATTCCTGCCCTGCTCCAGTCGGTGTAAAGCACAAATGGGTCTTCTTTGCTCGGCAGGGTTAGGACAGTTGCAGTCTTCACTGCCTTTAGTAGAGCCTCCATTATCCCCTGCTCCGCTTCCCCCCACTGCCAGGCCTGCTCTTCCTTCAGTAAGCGATTCAGCACTGCGGCGGTCCTGCTGAATCGCAATACTGCCCTGACGGTGCTCCTGTCCTTTGGGGCAGGCGCACTGTCCAGCACTTCGACTTTTGCCAGTTGGATGCTCATCTTTCCCCCTTGTACTTCGAAGCCTAGGTACTTGACCGAACTGTTGCCAAAGCTGCACTTCTTGGGGTGGCATGTTAGCCCGGCTTCCCTTATGGCGGCTAGCGTGTCGCTCACATCCTTCACGTGCTGCTCCTCTGAGGTGCTAAAAACCACCACGTCGTCAATGCAGTAAGCCGTTGCTGGCACGTTCCTCAGGGCCGCGTCCATGGCTCGCTGGAACAGGGCAGACGCGTTCTTCATGCCGAAGGGCATGAACTTCCACTCGTACAAGCCATCTGGTCCGTGACAGGCTGTCTTCCTACTGTCCTCCTCCCTGATAGGTATTTGATTGAATCCCTGCATCAAGTCTAGCTTGCTGAACACCACGGCTCCTTCCAGTCGGTCAAATATCTCCTCCGCTGACTGCATCGGGTATCTATCCGCTAGAGTCACTTCTTTAAGACCCCTATAATCTCCGCACATCCTTCGTGCCGACACTTCCCCCATCAGACCTCTCCTTGCAACCGCCACCGTCGCCGCTGCGTAGTCACTGTCTAATTTCTGGATTAGGCCTACTTCCAGCAATTCTGCGCATTTCTCTAGGCATATGTCCAGATCTCTCGGGATCATTCTCCTGTTCCGTTGGTAAATGGGTACTTTGGTGGTAAGCTTCAGCTGCATCTGATGAGTGTAGCACTTGCCCAGTTCTTGTAGCGCGTAGGCAAATGTGTTCCGATGCTGCTTCAGTACCTCCTGCAGAGCCTTTGCTGTCTCTCCCTCCATTCCCTCTCCTATATGCCAGTCCTCCTCCAGATCTCTTTCCTTCTGAGCCCTTGCTTTTCTGCCCTCACCCAACTCTGTCTGGGGCTTCTCCGCCCCTCCTTGGGCTGTGTTCCCTGCTTCTAGTACCATGTAGTCCCATCCCTCCACTATCCGCGCTTCTTGCTGCTCTTCTATGGCCTGCAACTGCCTCCTGCTCCTGTCCGCTTCTACTTCTTCCTGGTGCCGCTCACTGATTTCAATCTCCCGCTGTATCTCCCTTTTCTTGAGGTGCATGTGTACTGTCTCCACCAGCCAGCTCATGACATTCAGATCCATGGCGCGGCCCGGTGCTGCCCTTCGCTGCTACTTAGTCACTTGGGGATGCGCAGTTGCCCCCCACCGGTGCCCCATTCCTAGCTCTCTCTCTTCGGCCGTTGTCTGTTCCCATCTTCCATGCGTCACGTCGTACACCATCCCGGGCCCTGGCTGATCTCCCTCCATGATGAAGCCTCTTGCTTCAGCGTAGGATACCAAGGTGGGTAGTGCCTTTCTCGGCTTCCCTGACACATTGCACTGAAACTGCGAGGGATGATCAGGGGTGGTCACTGGTGTTGGCAGTCTGTTCGGCCCCAGAATATCACTAACCAGTCGGGGTTCTGGCCTCTGCATCTGCGCCAGCGACACTCCGTTCTGCCAGTATCTCCTCGGCCTATAGGATCTGGATCCCAGCTGCGCCGCATCTGCCGCCATACCTCTCCCCACCGCCGCTTCAATCTCAGCAAAGGCCCGCTTAACTGGCTCGCCGTGGTCTTCCGCCAGGTCCATGTTCTTGAGAATGTATAGGACCTCTCCTTGCTTCTTCTATACCATCTCCAGCACCCTCTTCAGTTCTCGGAAGGTGGCCCCTCTGCTGTCCTCCATCCCTCTCCCTTCTCCGGCTCGTGAGTACCCTTGGCACTCCCACGCTGCCACTATCAGGTCAATCTGCCCCCACTTTTCTAGCTGCTCTTCTGTGATATCTCGCACGTCGTCCATCGTCGCTTCTTCTTCTGCGCTTATGGCCGACGCCAACAACTGCTGCGGGGATTCCTCTAGCAACTCCAAGGCGTGGTGTCTGGCCATCCGTCTTACTTTGGGATCTTTTTCTACGTGTACCCACTGTCGTCCATGCAACCTGCTTTCAGCACAGCGGCGAGGCCCATCCCTATTCCTCCGTACAGCTCCACCACACACAGCGCACTCTGGAGTGCCAGGGTTTGAGTTATCCTTTCCTTCAGGGAGGGCGGATCCCCTCCTTGCACTCTCATTTCGGTCCTCTGCTCATATTCCTCTGCATACCTTCCCCATCTCCAGTGATCTAGTTCTTTCCCCAGGTCGGCTTGCCTCGCCCCATATGCCTCCCTTGGCTCCTGCCTTACGAACTTCACTGGCA